TCATGCATCGACTGTATTTTTTTGTAATTATGCTTAAATGAAATTTCTATCATAGCAGTGTAAATGAGGGATGGCATTCCAGATGTAGTTGAAAATAAAAACATTTATTAGTGAATATAATGAAATTCACCTAAAATGTCTCGCTATACACTTTCCGCGGCTTATCCGGACCGTTATTTTATAAAAAATTCACCAATCGGCTTTTGTTATATTACATTCGAGATAAACGCGTTGCAGCACAGTGTAGTAAGCTCGATTGCATATGCCCATCGGCATTTAAGCGAGCCGAGATAATAATGTCTTACTTCCGCGTAAGACAAGCGAGCGCTTAGTATAGCGTCGTCGCGCCCGTTCGAGCTCACACACATATATTTTGGATTTTTTTTTGCCCCTCTGCGGCTCTTGTTTTGTCCTATATAGATGAGCCGAGAAAGAGCTTGGAATAGAGCGGAAGTTGGCCGATTATTTATGGAGCGTATCAATGAAGCGCGTCGATAAGGACAACAAAAAAATCGTACAAGTTGGCTCGCGATCGCTCCGGACGAGAGCTGCTTAGCTGAGAGCTTCGAAGAAATTGTAAATGTGCCGATGTGAATCCGTTGCTTTGTGCACTTGACGCGCACGGCAGCAGGTGCTACGTTCCCTCGCGCTTATCGCGCATATAGCACGTGTGTGCACACATAAGCGAACACGTAATATTTGGTTTTGAAATTCAGCTGGAATTACTGTGCATAGCTATGTCATATACCGTCTGCATATAGCTATGACTGATGCTGCTGCTGCACTGCATAGTCGCGAAAATTGGCGCATCTCTCTCGGCGTTGCTACCGTCGTCGTCGTCGAGATTAAACGTTTGCTATGTCTAAAATGTAGACTCGGTTCCGCCACACATACTCGCAGGCACGCGTGCACAATCACACGTATATATGGCACGTGTAGCATATATTATATACCTACGTATGTGTACACCGCGTGGGTATGTGCGAATATAGTGTGAGTCACCGTCTACGTACATACATATTGCAACGACGACGACGGCGACGTGCGATTTACCTCTCAGGAATATACCGTGCGCTGCCACGTGTACCGAGTTGTTATGCCTTTGAACAAATAGTCGAGCTGCCGCCACCGCTGCTGCTGCTGCTGCTGCTGCTGCTGCTGCCTCCGCGACCTCGCGCGAATCATTAAACTCAACTCCGTAATATTCATGCTCGAGATGATACATTTCGTAATTTTCAAAAATCTTCTTCTACAGCGCGTGTCACTAATTTTGCCTTAGAAATGCAAGATCGAGTTTCCTATCTTCCTGTCGTGATTAATTCGTGAGAACTCAACCAGAAATTCAAAACCGATAAATAGAGCTGAACACCCACGAAAATATAATGCATAAATACAAAATATTCGATACGATGTCTGAATTTTATCTGAGCCAATTGAAATTAATCATCTCGTTACGTCATTAGCGGTGCTTTATACATTTTCAAGATCAGTATCATTCGGCAAATGTTGATATCTTCTCTCTGCCCTCGCTGCTTCGCACACACGTATAACAAAACGACGTGCGGTTTCTCGAGTTACATTATTTGGTCAACTTGAGCTTGAAATTTTAGTTAATTCGTCATCCTCCTTGACAAGCGTATAATTATATGACTAATTATTACGAGCCCATTCAATCTTGGGAAAGAGGGAAAAATCGTGTCTAATCGTGCTGCACGACCGTCTACGGTTTCATGAAAAAAAATAAAGTTTTTTTTCTCTATTCATCGTCGCTATGATAATACCGAATCCTTGCTACACATTTTTTATCTTTTCTTTTTATCTTTTTTACTCTCGGTTATCCAGTGTATCCAATTTTGGTATGGTTTGCATGAGCACCATATGTAGAATTGCCATTCACTGCCCTGGAATCTGGGTATGTACTCTTGACTTTTCTTCGTCGGTCGTCTCGTTCTCTTTCTGTCTCTCTCACTCTCTACCGTGTAATACGAGCTGAAAGCTCCGAAGCTCCAGTTACTTTTGCCTACCTGACTATTTTTTTGTTCTTTTTTTTATACATGGTATACATCCACGAAGAATCAATGTAAAGCTCGATATTCTTTTACCGCGTCAGATCTTTCTTTTTGATATTGAGTTGCATCAATTCGTATTGTTTCTATTTTAAAAAAATATTTCACGTGTATGATTGAACATAAAGCTGACTGGTTGATTATTGAGTTAGTTGTAATACAGTTGTAAATAATATTATAGAATATAAAATTACAGCGTTGCTTTCATAAAATTTACTCTTATTGAATTATAAAATAAAATTATTTAAAAAAACGTTATTCGAGAAACAAAAGAAAAAATTAGTCGAGCTATCGGGGTGAAAATTAATTCTTTTTTCCAACGAACCGAACGTACTGAAGTTACATAAAATCCAACAACAAAATCGAGCTCGTTGAGGGAAGCCGAAAAACTGTAAGTAAGCATTTATCGGCGAACCGCTGTGAAAATTTTCCTCTTCCAAGTAAATATCATTTTGCCTCGCTCGGTATCGGGTCGAGTGGATCAGCAGAAAATCTATATACACGCACGATTACCCCCTGAACAGAACAAGTGAGGAAAAGGAAGGAAAAAAAGCAGCATAATTTGCGTCCACTTACTCGTGTTAGACTAAATTACAGGCAAAAGGCTTATTTGCCGACACTATACAGCACGAGCGAGCGCACAACCTGTCCCGGAATATTCTCTCTCTCTCTCTCGGAAAAATGCCTTTAACCAACAAAATCGATACGTCACGCGCTCGGTGTGCACGGATAGGATTTATGATGGTATAAGGGATCAATCGTATACACCGCTCTCTCACACAGCAGTAACACACGATATTGCCACACGTACGCGTATGTAAAAATCTGCCAAGAGAGGGAAAGAGAGAGATGCTTTCGATGCGATGAGTAGTACAAGCGTAACCAAAACTCCCTTGTTCCCTTTCTTTTTTTTCATTGGTTTGTAAAGCTTACCCGCGCCAAGCACACTGTTGCTTTTTTCCGATGAGCGAAGCAAGATCTTTTTTTTTGCGCGTTTCAGCGGTTTTTATCTTTCAGCCGCACTATAGACCATATAGGATGGGAAGGGTTCGTTTTCTTATCACGCTGCATTGAGTGGAGCTTTGTCGGTGAAGCACACACACGCTCTGCTTTTTCATTTTTTTCTTCTCCCTCATTATATTTGGCTTAAAAACTTGACCAAAAGAAAAGGGGGGAAAGGCGCAACTCAAGTTGTATTATCATAAAATAATATTATGAAAATGTCGTTAACGTAACGCGCGAGTAACGTCATTAAAAATAAAACTTAAAATTTCGTCTCAAGCGTAGATTTTAATTTCTAAGCTTGCAACTACAGTGATGGTGGTGGTGGTGGTGGCAGTAGTACCTAGCGCAGCAGCCTGAAGAGATTATACGTGCTCCGAATTTTAAAGGGCGGCCAAGTACCGAGCGCAATAGCCAATGTACAGTAATATTTGGCAATTTCTTGCTGCTGCTGCTGCTGATTACGCGCGTCCTGCAATGTTGACCAGATCCCCGCGCGACAGCGTCACGTATCGGCGCTTTATTACGCGCGAAATTACCGTTATTGTTTTTGGCTAGATTTTATTACTCTCGTTTACAGCTTATAGCGCGCGTTTTCCAGCGCGGGGAGGTAAACAAAGGCACTTTACTATCTATATGTGAAAGATATCTTGTGTTTTATCGCGTATGTTATGAATTTGCTTTTTGCAATAGCTTTTATTTGTTGTCGAGGAAGAGAGAGAAAGCGATTTTTGTAAATTTCTTTGGCATATGACTTATTTCCTTCGATTTCTGATGTGTAGGTCATGTGAAATATAGAAAACGTGCGCTGCCAAGTACTGTTCTTTTTCTCTCAATATTTTTCTACGCGAATGATCGATCTTTGCTCGAAAGAAAAATCAAGTTATCCATCAAATCAAATATCAAATAAAAGCCGAGAGCTCGATCATTCGATTGTTTGTTATTGATAGTTGTTGCTTTCCGCTGTTGTGTGTCCGTGTGTTTGCGTTTGCGTAAAGCCAAGCTAGCCTCGAGATCGAACGATCGACTTTGCACCAATTCGATGATATAAACTTTGCGAAGTAGGATTTCACGGTGAAGTTTCAGAGCGTGCCCACGCGAGTTCACCGCAATGTTCGATGATTCTCTCGTATATGCAAGAGAGAGTCGAATATCAATTATTATCTCGTTCGTGCGCGCGAGGCATATGGGGCGCTGTTGCGTGTAAAATCATTTCGAGCTCGTACTTATACGCGCTCCACTTCGTCGCGATTGTTCCGTCATCGAAAATCAATTTCTCTCGCGTTTTTATGACAATTTTTTTTTTGTTCATTGAACGTCTTTCGATACGGTTTCAATCTGCGACATCTCCATTGTTGTTCGCTCGCTGCTGTACTGCACTTTCCAACAAGACGATGAGCCGCGCGTTGAACTTTCATTCGGAAGTAAAAGCAATAATGAGCTTTCCCATTACGTATACACACAGAGAGACGGACCTGCACCGACGCAGAGAGAGAGAGACTACTTTCTTTGATTAAATGATGCGATATCATCTTGTTTCGGACGTAATTTTGCCAAGTACAGAGTGAAAGTTGTAGTTTCCGAAATTGACGTCAACTTTTCACAACTCGCGTCTAATGCAGCTCGCTCTCTTGAATTTCTACGAATTAAATGGTTCGCCTCGTCATTTCGAGCGATCATCCATCGACATCCGCGCGTAGTAGCTTTTACTTGGCTGGGGGATAAAGTCTGCGTTCTACTATTACCGACACGCCTCTGACAGAAGCTCGGATCAATGTGTATATCAGACACAACATAAAGGGCGCGCGGGCATCGCGAAAGTCTCGTCTCGTCTCGGGGAATACGCTGTTGTTATTATGATATTTCGCGCGCTCACGCATGCGCGCCTCGTAATCGGACAGCGACCGAAAATCGGTGAAAGGCGTCTGCCGCTGCTGCTGTCGCCGCTGCCGTCGCCGCTGCCGTCGCCGGCTGCTGGCTGCTGCACCTTCGCCAACATTTTTTTGTTTTGGGCCTCTTTCACTTTTTCAGCCGATCTCGTACACGCAGATCGGTGGAATATTCGATCTCCGAGCGTCGAGCGAACACCTTCGCAATCGCGTCAGACACGATTTCTACCATATGGATAGCTCGAGCGTCCGAGTTTAATTGAACTTTTCACCGTTTTGTTTTCACACGCTCCTCGCACCGGGGAAAACAGAGACGTGAGTGACACAGGGACTCGTCGTGCACGTCAATTGTTGTATTTGTCAACAAAGTCACTAGAGTAGAAGTAACGAAGAACAGCACGAGAGATAAAAGCAGTGCGTGTACACAAACATCTGTGCAGGTCATATGTGAATTTTATCGAGCGTTGACACCGATAAGTGTTTAAATATATAACAATATATACGCTTGTATCAGTAGAAAAAAAAAAGATTGACGATTCTCGTGTTTTCCATCGAGGGCGTTTGACACATTATTCAGATACCGTGTAGCTGCTGAGTTGGCACAGTTCGATACATTCCTCAGTGCATCCAGAAATTGTTAAAATAATGACTTACTTGGAAATTAAAGCTCTGCTCCAAAAGCATGGCCAGGAGCACCTGCTTCAATTTTGGGACGAGCTTTCGCCGGAAGAGCGAGATTGTTTGATCGAAGATATCGAAAATTTGGACTTGATGGAGGTAACATCTTATTTTACCAGAGCCATAAAATCCAACGAAAGCAAAAGTTTGCTGGATGAAAAAATTCAGCCCATACCAGATTCATCCATCGAGTCGATCAAGACTGTTCTACCCGAGCAGTTGCAAAAGTATGAAAGACTTGGACTGGAAGAAATAGCTAAAGGTAAGGCTGCTATCATTCTTATGGCTGGTGGTCAAGGTACAAGACTTGGTGTGGATTATCCAAAAGGAATGTACAATGTTGGGTTACCATCCAATAAAACACTATTCGAGTTGCAAGCTCTAAGAATAAAGCGTCTACAACATATGGCCAGAGAATTGTTTGGAGATTGTGCAGGTATTGCATTGTACATCATGACTAGCGATGCTACTCATGAAACAACCTTGGCTTATTTTAAGGAAAATGACTATTTTGGTTTAAACGAAAACCAAGTTAAAGCATTTAAGCAAAGTACTCTACCTTGTTTCACTTTTGATGGTAAAATCATCCTTGACGACAAGCACAAAATTGCTAGGGCTCCTGATGGCAATGGTGGATTGTACGTTGCTTTAGAAAAAGAAGGAATTCTGAGTGATATGGAAAACCGTGGAATCAATAGTGTACATGTTTTTTCAGTTGATAATATTTTAGTAAAAGTAGCTGATCCAGTATTCATTGGTTATTGCCTTAGTCGCTCTGCAGACTGTGCAGCTAAAGTTGTTAGTAAAAGGTCAGCAGATGAGCCTGTTGGCGTTGTGTGTTTAGTAGATGGACTCTTTGGTGTTGTTGAGTACAGTGAAATTTCAAAAACTACTTCACAACTTTGCAATGATAAAGGAACTTTAGTTTATAATGCTGGAAATATTTGTAATCACTATTTCACAACTGAATTTCTCAATAAGATTGCTAAAAATTATTCAAAAGAATTGGATTTACATGTGGCAAAGAAAAAAATTCCATTTATTGACGCTAGTGGCACAAAGTGTAAGCCAAGTACATCAAATGGTATCAAGATTGAGAAATTTGTCTTTGATGTTTTCAAGTATTCCTCTAAATTTGCTGCTTGGGAAGTTTTGAGAGAAGATGAATTTAGTGGACTCAAAAATTCTGATTCTGCAAAAGAAGATTGCCCTACGACAGCTAGAAATCATATTTTGGATCTTCATAGAAGATGGCTTCTCAAATCTGGAGCTAAAAATGTTGATGGAAATGTTGAAATCAGCCCTTTGTTGTCGTATGCTGGAGAAAATTTGGTAGACATTGCTAAAGACAAGTCCTTCAGAGGTCCTTTAGTTTTAAATTAAATTGTGCAATTTTTATACATTTTTCAATTATTACTTGTGAAAAGAATTTTTAGAATGATGTAATCAGTTTTGACACTCTATTTTTTACAAATCATGTACTGAAGAAGATTTATTTTTATGATACTTAGTTTATCTTGAGATGTATCTTTTACAGATTCAGAAAGTTTTATTTTTAAACAAAATTTTTTTATATTTTTATTTTATTTAAAGAAAAGAATTTATTATGATGTTTACACTGATAATTAAGGCTGATAAGGACTATAAATTTACTTGAGTAATGCATCAAGAATGTATAAATTCTTAGTATTGCAAAATGGTGCCTGTTTTGTATGAGATGTATAAATATATTTTAATAGTAATTTTTCTAGAAAAGAAGTTTAATATCATGAACAAGCTTTATGTGTCAATCCAGTGTAGTTATTTTTAAAATGTTGTGCAATAAACTGTAGTTCAAATAGACCTCGTATAAATGTATAAAAATATGAATAATAATACAGCTAAGATCCTGATATATATGATTTTTATATTTTACATGACAAAGGATTAAGAATTGTTGTCAATAAGATTGAAAAATGCATGGAAAAATCTTTGTTAAAAACAGGATTTTTACAATGTGGTCAATCAACTTGAATCGTTAGTGTTTTTTAATCATTTTTATCAATAAAAGCGAAAATGTTTTTAACTCCGTTTGTCCATTTATTATACACAAAGTCACTTTTAAATGAATAAAAAGTTGTTTTATTTGTGAATATAATACAAAAAAGATAATCGATACAAAGAGAAAAAACGTATACGTCTTTGGAAAAATAAGCAGCTTTTGAAACGTCGAACTCGTTGAATTTATTCAACTTCGTATAAGCGTGGCTACGAACATAATAATATGAAGCTGACTTGATAAACTTTCGCTCGTGCGTTACTCGTACGATCGAGAAAGAGAGAGAGAGAGAGAGACAAGGAGTGAAAAACGGAGAATATATTGTCGTATATAAAGAGAGAGTAGTGCGTATCACAAGATATAAATACAACCAACGCAGAACATTTCAATAAAGAAAGGCGGCTGAGATCTTAAAAGTACTTTTCGAGATGTACAGCGAGGTCCATGGGATCGGTGTTGGGTCCGTGTCTCTCGACGACCTTACCCTCTTTGTTGACGATGAACTTGGTGAAGTTCCATTTGATGAAGTTGCCAAGAGTGCCTCCCTGCTCCTTCTTCAAGTACTTCCACAGCGGGTGGGTCGTATCGGTGTTCACGTCGATCTTCTCGAACAAGTCGAATTTAACCTGCATAAACCAGGAGAATAAGTACAAGATTTTCCTGAGAGTAGCGTGTAGGCAAAAATTTTGCCTCGACAAAAGCTCGGGTAAACTACGATAAATTCTCCGAAGCGCAACCCGCACGTTTCGCGCATTTAATATAAAAAAGAAGGAAAACGTACACCCGCGCGCATAATGTTTATAAATCACAGGGGCGTCGATGCATTTTCCTCGAGCTTCTTGCAATTTATTTCCTTTTGCGCCCTCGAGAGTTTGTGCGAGAGTTAACCTAGTTTTTAAACTTTATTATCCCCCAGTTCTCTCCTAAGAGCGAGTCCAGAAGTACATAAAACTTTTTGTACGTTTATATTATTTGTGCGCGAGCGCAAACGAACGCACGATTATTTCGATAAACTTTCATTTAAAATTCGAGACGTTTTAATTGCGCCAAGTTTTCGAGCTAAGAAACTGAGACTCCCTCAATATCCCCGAGTACTTTTTTGTCGATGCGGAGTACGTAATTCGACTTACGCTTTTACGAGCGGCAAAGCTGCAGATTTCCTCGGGGCTGCCGGGCTCTTGGCCGTTGAACTGATTGCAGGGGAAGGCCAGGATCCTCAGACCCTTGGACTCGGCGTACTTGTCGTGGAGCTCGTTCAACTGCTTGTAGTTGTTTTCGGTCAGTCCGCACTTGGACGCGACGTTGACGATCAGCAGGACATGGCCCTTGTATCTGTGATGGTTTAAAAATAAAAAATCAGTTTTCATAAGAAAAACCTAAGGTATTCAAGTTAACGAACGCGTTCATGTGCATTACTTTTCCATAGAGACGGGCTGTCCCTTGATGTCGTTGACCGTAAAGTCGTAGACCGACTTGGCAGATTTGTAATCTTCGTTTCCGCTCATGACTGCTGCAACACGATAATGAGAAAAAATTCAGAAATTCAGCAGTTGTATAAACAACGTGTTTGCAAAAAATAAATGTCGATAAACTTTTATCTCTGCGTACACATTAGAGAGAGCAACGGTAAACGGTTAATTCAACAAAACGTTGGATAAATATTAGTATAAATGCGATAAAAATAGAGATTCCATTACTGCATGCATGAAGAGATTCAATTATTGCATCCTTTTAACAGGTTTTCAAGATTATTATGCATGTATTGAAAAAGCTCGGGCGTACACAACATACGTACACAGAAACACAAACACGTACTCGTACTCGTACTCGTACTCGTACTCGCTAAACGTTGTAGAGTACTATCTAATTGCAAACTGTCCTAATGACTTTAAATACATGTACGATGCGCACAGACAGGCGCATATGTATATTACATACTGAGGTAGGTGTATATGATATAGAGAGGTGTACGTGCCTGAGAAATTTCGAAATAAAGTTTGAAGTCCGATCGGCACGAGGGTGGGCCTTAAAAAACGCATTCCTTCTAATTGAGCTTTTTTCTCTTTCTCTCTTTAATTTATCTCAATTCCTACGAGAGAAATGAATGATTAATGGTTTTTTTTCTTTCAATTTTTCGTTGCTTATCAAGGTGTGTGTGCATACAGCGGCGTACATCAATATTCGCCGCTTTATAATGTATACGGCGTTATAATGTATGTCGCCGGGATTATCGACGTTTTTCACGCATTATGCACGCAAGTTCATTTTCATATAAAATTTGAGCTTTTCCTTGAAAATGAATAATGCATAAAATTATGGTTCGAATACATACACAATCGCACTCAATTAATATTTCATCGCTGCACAAGTGTGTTACCTTGTGCCTCTTACTGCTACGAAAATTTACAAGAACAAAAAAAATCAAGAACAAGAAGTGAAGTCATGCGTTCGATCGACTTTATATTTTTTATTATTACATCCGAGAGGAGGATACGCACGTAATGCATAATATCCGAGTCATTGAAAATCTCTCTCTCACTCTGTCTCTCATCCGGCGAGTTGCACGGCAAAACGAAAGGTTGCATTTGGCTGCACGTACACGCAAAACACACACATACGCAAATACGACGACGACGAGAATCGCGAGATAAAACGGGTGGCGCCATCGAGCGCTGCATCACAGTACGACGATCATCTGATTTTGCGTGAAACATTTTGTGTGCTGCATTCACGCAACACACACAACAAACTCACACAATGAATTCGGCAAGCGAGAGATCGGCTCCCTGTCACGGACATTGAACAACGAGTTTACGTTTGTTGCGATCGCGATTAAATGAAAACAACGACGATGGGCAATGGATTTCGCGCAAGACACTCTTACCTGCGATGCGATCTCAAACGTTTGTAGAAAAGACGGATCACAGATCTCTTTTGCGGATGCTAGTAGGTGCGTGGCTCGAAGCGTCTGGTCGCAAACTAATGCCACTCGGTACAATATAGCGGCGCGACAACGGAGGCAGCGGCTGCGCGAGGCACTGACGACGACGACGACGACGACTCACGGCGACTCGCGAGTATTTGCGTCCGTGTGCGCGTGTATATTTTCGCCGGTATATGCCAACGTACACGTACTGTACTAAATACACGCGCGCGCGCGCTCATTAAACGTCCAATACGATACGCAACGCATCAGCGTGACTTGGCGGCTTTGTCCGCTTTGTTGTGTGCATGACTATCTGACCAAAATATTCGACTCGTACTTTTTCATTCCTGATTTTTCCATCGCAGACGACAATGTGTAACGCGCAATGTTGCGTAAGATGATTATTTTGAGCTAGAGATTTGTCAGGATTTTTTTTCTAAAAATGTTTTCAAGTACTGCACGTTGGTGCCGATTAAAATATTTCACCGATGTATGACAATTGGCGAGCCTTGAAATAGCATTGAATATGCAATAATTCGAACGCAAAGATTATTCTAGTACCTTGACAATTAGTCGTGTTTTACGATGTAACGAGATCTATGGCTGATATACACCTGCATTAGTCATATTTTTATACCGCAGCAGGTAGTACTGCAGCCTGTTATTGGTAATGACAGGTCTATACACACCTAAGTGCAGCACCATTCATAATAATAATCGAGCCTGACTATGAAATAATGACAATTACCTCGTGCGCATCGATCGATGCCACAAATTACACGCGTGTCGTTACGAGGCAAAAAAATAACAAACAAGTTGGACATGTAGAGTGAATTCGATTTCCCCATTAAACATTGACGCCCAGCAACAATAATAATAATGATGGTACTATACGCGCAATTATACACGATGAATAATTTAGTTGTACTTTAGCGAGTGTGAAAATATTTGTGAAAAAAACAAATCTCAAATGCTTCGATCTTCTTTTTTGTTACAGCACGTTAGTTCCATGGAAGGTGTTCAGGCATGAGCTCAATCAAGTTCATCCCATCAGTTCAGGGCTCCAAGCGATGGCCCTCAAATCGACGATTGACCTCACGTGCAATGGTTACATATCCAATTTTGAGTTCGACGTATTTACTAGGTTTGTAGTGTGGCGAATTCCGAGCATGACTCGTATTATTTCGACGCTCGAACGCTTCCTTGCTAAATGAGGTTGTGCGTTTTTTTTCCAACAGGTTGTTTCAGCCCTGGTCAACGTTGCTGCGCAACTGGAAGATACTAGCCGTGACGCACCCTGGATATGTGGCCTTTTTAACGTACGACGAGGTCAAGGCCCGATTACAAAAGTACTGCATCTCCAAACCGGGCAGCTACGTCTTCAGACTGAGCTGCACGAGGCTCGGCCAGTGGGCCATAGGATACGTCACGTCTGACGGTGAAATATTACAGACTATCCCGCACAACAAGAGCTTATGCCAAGCTTTACTGGATGGATATCGGGAAGGATTGTGAGTTGATCAACATTATCCATTCGTTAACAAAATAAAGTTATAATCTATAACGATCGTGCACCTCGTGTTTCAGTTATCTTTACCCAGACGGGCGGAACGTCAATCCCGACTTGACGTGGGCCGTTCAACCGACCCCTGAAGAACACATCAAGGTCACGGCCGAGCAATACGAGCTCTACTGCGAAATGGGCAGTACGTTTCAATTATGTAAAATCTGCGCCGAGCACGACAAAGACGTGAGGATCGAACCTTGTGGTCATTTGCTCTGTACACCATGCTTGACTTCCTGGCAGGTGAGTCATCGCCGAGATCTTCTTGCGCAAGCTTCGCAATTAACTGATAAACTGATAACGATAATTTTCCGTGTGCGCAGGATTCCGAAGGCCAGGGTTGTCCGTTCTGTCGAGCCGAAATCAAAGGAACGGAACAAATCGTGGTCGACCCGTTCGATCCCCGCAGAACCCACCGTCAGGGTGCCCAGTCAGCGAGCGCGAGCAACGCCTCGACGCCCACGCAGGACCTAGATCCCGATACCGAGGTATCCGATGAATAGAGAATGCCTAGACCATCACTTGCTTTACTTTTTTTACATTCCTTCTCATTTTTTTCATTTTTTTATTATTTTTTTTTTTGTTTTCTACTTTTGCTGTCTATAATGTATATGCCTATTATTGTTCCCGCCCTGTACTAGATTAACTATAACTACTCGTTCCGTCCCAATTAAATAATTGAAAAACCGCGCATGGCTGCTGAGCGTTTGTTTGTCTCCTTCTTGATTTTTAATGTTTTAAAAAAATAACTTTTTCTCGATTTCTTTTAAAATCTTTGAACGCTTGAGTGCGAGTGCTGTTGTATAGTTTATAATTAATGTATGTATGATTTTTTTCTATTTACAATGTGTCATTGTTAACTCAAAGGTATTAATTTTCGTTTTATAAAATTATTTGACTGCAAAATGAATACAACTAGAAACTCTGTAGGCGTGATTTTCTGGCGAACCCTAATGATAATACGAGTTTAATAAATTCTCTGTCAATGATGCATAAAACGGCCAAATGTCGATTAATAAGTTTCCTAACACGTTAATATATACGACGCTTGAAAGTCAAATGGTAAAATGATAAACGTATAAGTACGTTTATAGAATTTCTTTTGTAATTCTATTATCTGATAAGCTGTGTTTACTGTAAAGATTGATTTATTTTTAAGATCGCGAATGCATCTGTGCTGAGTGAGAAATGCGTGAAATTAGATTATATTTTCGAACAAATTTTTTCGAACTGAGGCTTTTGCTTGTCGCTGATTAGATTTTCAAATATCGATATGTGATAGTTAAATAAATTTAGTATTAAAAGACATTCATATTCATCTTCTTCCGGAATATATTCTTTACTATGTAAATGAAGAAATTTTCATTCATTGTTCCATGATCATCATTACTAGATAAGCGCTTTTTGCATGATTGTTGCAATAGAAAATTTATAAATTTTCTTTTGACAAAAACAGATTATTGCCACCAATGAGGGACCAGTTCTTGCGAATCTATCCAATATAGTTGTATTTTGTAAATTATATATCATATAGGATTACGCTAACTTTAACATAGCGCTTCAATGAGGCTTACACGACGAACAAATCATACGGAAAAATACGAAACATTTATCATTTAATGTTTTTACCGTAAACGCCGTTAACGAATATATATTTCATTGATAAATGTGCAAATTTCGCGCTTATTGTATAAAAAAATTAGGAATAGAGAGAATGTGAGAGCTGTGAATTGAGCATGGATTACGTAAATGCACGTGTATTGTATTAATTGATAGATTTTGAAATTACTTCAAAATTTTCATTCTAACAAGTATTGACTAGTATACTATATATTTGATAATGAACTGCGTTATTTGTATGAAGGGTTGTGCTACTTGTGCAATGAATATTATGTATGTTTCGTTTATACGTTTTTAATTCTCCTTGCCAAGTGTATCGCAAAAATGGCTTTAATTAATTTTTTTTTCTTGAGTGCGAAAGTTCAATTCTTTTTTAACTTACTGTAATATACTAGGTGCAGAAATTGCAATTTTTTATTTGAATAAAAGGACGCTCATGTTTATTTTTGAAATGAAACCTTTCTGCTTTTTTCTTTCATCCTTTGAAAGTTTTTTAATATTGTTCGAAAAGAAGAAAAGATTCTTCTAGTTTTAATATTACTCTATGTAATATTACATCTCATGATTACATTTGAGTTGAAGATTTCTGCATGCCCATACACATTGAACTTACTAATCAAACAAAAATAGACACTCAAGTACATTACAACAGTGAGCGAAAGAGAAATACAATGAAGGTGAAACACATTGCGGATTCCAGAGGTGAGAAAAACGCTTCATTCAAATTGCATTTTGTTTAGAAAGCTTGTTTGCTCTGCTTTGCATCCTTGATCGAAAATTGCTCTGGCATGTTTATTGTTTTATCCTGTGTAAGTAAATCAATGAAGAAAAAAAATTAGCGCTAGTATTATCGATGAATGGAATGTTCATGTGCAAGATCAAAAGAAATTGTTGTAAAATTAAAATAAAAATTAAAAATGAGAAAGAAAAAAAAATTAATGAAGTTATTTTAGGGCAGAATGTGGTTTTACTACGCTTGGTACTGTGGTGATTGGGATTTACGCAAATAAAAAAAATTAGACAGTTATTAAAATTACTTCTAATGATGTATAATATATTAAAATCCAATTTTTTCTTCTTCCAGGCTATTATGGAGTTGATCAACGGTAATGGAGCAGGTAACGACACGGACGATGAGGACGATTCAGCCTCGCCGTCGACATCACCCCAGTCGTCGCGCCGAGTCGTGCCGAGTCCACCTTTGCCACCGCGTCGTTCCTCGCCGTCTCCAACGTCCAATGGACCTGTGGGGGTTGTCCCGGCGAGTATACCGATTCATCAATCTCAGCCGCCACCGCCAGTGCCGCCGCAGCAGCAGCAACAGCAACAACAACAGCAACAGCAGTCGTCGTCCCAGAGAAACGGCCACGTCCCGGTCAGGCATCTAACAGTGCCCAAAGAGAACGCACCGCCGCCGCCGACGCTGACGGCGACGACCCCGAGCTCGATGGCTCCGCCGCTACCCGCGATAACGACTCCACAACAGCCCGCGCCTCCACCTGTTACGGTCATTTTGTCCTCGAGTACCAACAACGAGCCAAACAACGTGAACAACAAAGCCAACGGCACCGAGTCGAGGTACGACATGCTGCACCGAGCATCGTCGCCGTCGCCGGTACCGCCGGCAGTGATAAGGCCACATTCGCGATCGCAGCCGCAACTCGTGAATCGAAATCCTCCGGCTTTACCGGAAAAGCCAAGGCCTCCGATGCAACAGCAGCAACAATCATCGGGCTCGACCGTACCACCCGCAGTGCCACCACCGCTGTCGGTTCCGAGACCGCCTAAGTCCAATTCGGTTCAGAGCGGTGGCGTCAAGCAGGATCATTTGTACGAGAATACGATCATGATTCCCGGCACCAAGCAGCACGTCGTAAAAAATATTAATTTAGACGTACGTTTTTATTTATTATTTAAAACCTATTTATGAACGCTGACTGTTCATTAAACCGAATTTTTTTTTCTAAAGGTGAACAAAGCACGCATATCGAATCTGATGAAAGGCAAAGATGAGAGTGGTCGACCAATTCCAAAATCGAACGAATCAGCTGCTGCTTACGAGAATATTAACGTCGAGCACATATCGAGGCTCGTGGCTCTTGGTTTCGCTCAGGATGCGGTGATCCGGGCTCTCGGTATTACGAGGAACGACCTCGAAATGGCCTGTGATATCCTTCACGAGTTTGCCCAGAAGTCTTCCTGACCCGGTAATTATAGTCAACGCTTCTTTCGATCGATCGCAATCTTCAAATTGCTTTTCTCATTTTTTATTTGTTCTTGTAGCAACAGAAACAAACGACGACGACACGTGACCCCCGTTGCCCGCCAGGCGGTACTTTTGACGAGGAAGTCGAATCCGGAAGAACCGGAATAACCGACCGCTCGGCAGCTGGAGTAGCTATAGCATCTGCGCAGATGAGCAGGCGGCTATCGCCGCCGAGTCGGAGCAGTCGTCGACAGCCGTGGCATCGTCAGCCTCGTAGCAGCAGACCCCGGACGGTCGCGTCCTCGCCGGCCAACAACGCGATGCACAGGAGCCCGCGACGCAGCAGTGCTCTCTCCCTGTCGCCCCAGGCCGTGAGAAACCGCGACTTGTCGGCTCCGGTGGCTAGAGAGCGATAGAACGAGGCCTAAAAATTGGACGACATTGTGGTATAGAGGACGACGATGACGATAACGGCACAGCGCGGGGGTTGCGATCTAATTAGTTCATAAGTTAATGCATAAGTATTGTGTATAAAGTGATGTGACTAGACTTGTAGGTATCGCTCGAGCGCTAGAGTGCGCACAAAGTATATGTTTCGATCTACTGAACGTAAAGTATGCTTCAGATAGATCGATGAACATTCAAGTTATTGGATGTACTTCACTTGATATTGGGAACGTAATGTTGTGCATCGAGCACGCAGATGTGTTTGATGAATTCATATATTATATCCAAATAACGTTAGTGTCTATTAATCTGATAATCAAATGATAGATTCGTTTATGTAATTAACGTCTTTATTCTAAAATTAACGTCACTTTGAATTGAGATACAAGACAAGAAGGCAAAACACCAATTCAATTGACAAATTATCACAAATAATTTGTAAAAACGATTATATTAGATTACGATAAAAAGGGAACATCATACACAATTAGATTATTTCTAAAGTGTCGCTAGGATACAATTATTTATTTTTACAGATATAGAAATCATTTCTGTGATATCTGGTAATCAACAATTAGCAATTGCTAGCTAGCTTGTGTTAGCCTCCGATCGTTGAGACGAACGATTTTCCATGTATTCAATGCGAACAATCATTTCATTTTTATAATGCACATAACAATTTTTATCGGACGGATCATAGTTGTAAAGAAATAATTTTAAATTATAAATGGCTCTTTTAACGTGACGTAAGTTAAAAGTTGAATTCTTTATTCGAATATGCGAAAATGTATTTTATTGTGTAAATAAATACACCTCCATTTGTAAATTATTTAGAAATACTTGATTGGCATTGTTAATAAAAAGCATTTTATTTATCAATCTTTCAAAAATGAATAATTTTGTGGGATTTCTAACCACGTTTGTAACCTGCATTCCAGGGATCATTTTGTAATACTTAATGATATATAAGTGAATGTTTTTTTCTAAGTATATCATTACGACTTATTTATTGTATTGAACAAATTGTGATATTTGATTTTAAATTGTATATAATTTCGTAATTTTTTAGGATAAGCCTTTGGCAAAGATTTTAAGATTAGCATATTTTCAAATTAGATCATTTCCTATAAATTGTAAACGTAAACAATCATTTCATCATTTCCTGAGCCCTAGTACAAAAATATTTTATCTTCTCTATAGTTGTATTAATATTAATTTAAAAATAAATAAGTAGGAATATTAAATTGTAATGAAAATGTTGTGCACTGGAAAATGTTGAACAATGCAAAAATTTGAATATTTTTTTAGTAGGCAGTGGAATTTCTTCTGATTCTGATGAATGCATTACGTGATTTTGAAATTTCACAAACCTAACTTAACATCAATAATATAAGTAAATTATGTTTTGGGAGAGTTAATAACAGGGCTGCACAAGGGAAAATTTCACATCAACTTTCAGTTTCGTTTCAATCATTCATGACTGATATTACATACAGATTAATTAGTTGTATAATAGCTTGTGTCAAATCTTTTACTGATTGCTAGATACTGAAGGACTGTAAATAAAAGCGATGTCGTAAGTACTAATTGGTAAAATCTTTTCACGAAGCATATTAAGTTTTTTACGAACAAAGATTTGATTAAAAATACGACAATCTTGAATTAAAGTATGAACGTGAGTGACATGAGTCAAGACTATAACAATGATTTAATATTCTACCAAGTAAAGTGTACCAAGATCAGAAAATTATAATCTTATATACTGTAGATGATTTCAATTTATAATTATCGTGGAGGTGACTTGTATCATATTCAACCAGATAGTTAACAAAACAGCCAATGCCTCTATTAATTAAATTAGTTAAAATATTACATTCATGATAGGAAAATGATTCAGACTCTTCAATAAAAATGTTTATATCGATAAAGCATGTTGTAAAGTGAAAAAAAAATGAGTGATGAATTAAACTTTAGCTTGTGTGACATATTAAAATATACATACAGATACGATTTATAAAAATGAGCACAATGCACAGAAAAAAAAACAAATAGTACCTCTTAATGTAAGCATAAGTAGTTTCTGTTTATAGCTCACAAAGCCTTAAGAATTTCATGCAATTTAATTTAGTTCTAAATTTTAATGGAAACAAATTTGCATTTCGATGGTAGCGTATTCAAAATCATTGTTGTTCGATAATAACATGTATAGATATTGAAATTATAATTCGTTCGGTAATAGATTTGGAATTCTTGGCTTGTGTGTCAGAATCAGTAAGCGTACACATTAACGTCCTATTTTTCTACATTGAACAATACCGTTTCTCTTTACAGTAGTATTGTTCGCGTTATACATGCGTTACATGTGAAACTGAATATATTAAACGAAGAAAACAAAAAAAATAGATTAAAAAAAGATTCAAAGTGGAAGTGATTTTAAGGGGGAAAAATATAAAAATAGTTATATTCTACGATAAATAGTTAATTAGTGTAAGTAATGATTAAAAAAAAACATTACCCATGTCGTGCAATACACAGCGTGAACCCCTCTATAATTTTAATTTCATCTGTATAAATTATTTTATGTATATTCTCGAGAATAAAAACAGCTCATTTACAAATCAACCAACAGTTTATTCATATTTAAAAAATATATTATTCAATATAACTTTGAACCTTAAAGTATAACATCGTAAGAACAGAAAACCATAAAAACCGTAATAAAAAATTTCTCAACCACGTGACGACAATTCATCTCTGAGCTTTTCGTACCTCTTAAGCTCCTCTTCGCTGACACTTGGAACGAGTTCTCCCACTACCTCAAGAAAATCATCCAATTCAACGATAACATCATCAGACGAAACGGTATCTCTTCTTTTTATGTCGACCTTTACCATGAGTTTTCTAACGGCTCGCAGCCAGGCATTCGAGCAGACGGAGTATAGGTCCGCACCGGTAAGATTTCTCGGCAAATTTTCCACCAGTTCCTTCAACTCCTCTCCGCCTCTCTTCAAATTGAAGTGCTTGGTCAAAGCCTCGAGGACGCTGATCTGCGAGGCAGCATCGGAGTAAACGCCGACGTAGAGCATCTTGTCAAATCTGCCGGGACGCAGGAGTGCAGGGTCAACCAGATCGGGCCGATTCGTAGCGCCAATCACGAAGACACGACCCTCGCTCTCTAATCCGTCCATTTCGGCAAGAAGTTGCGAAACTACGCGATCCATAACTCCGCCACTGTCACCGGACCGACCACGATTCGGTGCCAGAGAGTCAAGCTCGTCGAAAAAGATGATACTAGGCGAGGCCGCACGAGCTCGCTCAAAAACTTGAAGAGATTTTTATTAAATTTTGTTGGAGAGAACAGCGAGATCCATTTATGAAAAAAAGAATTACCTTGTCTGACGTTCTTTTCGCTCTGACCCACATACATATTCAAAAGTTCCGGACCTTTGACCGATAAAAAGTGGAGCTGACATTCCGTCGCGACAGCTTTGGCTAACAAGGTTTTACCAGTGCCAGGAGGACCGTACAATAAAAGTCCGGATCTGTTCATACCGGAAATATTGAGCAGAGGCATCTCGATGCGACGCATGATTTCGCGTTTCAATTCAGCTAAGCCACCGATATCGTCCCAGTGAACTTTCGGTACTTTTGGTGCTCCAATCTGATCGGCAAACGTTGATTGCATGTATTCTGCAACGAATTTAAATTTAAATTTAATTGGGTCATCTTAAATGATAAAAAATATTGAAAATAAATATGTACCGCAAGCACTGACGAAATCTTCGGTTGTTAGAGTCAAATCAGCATCCTGCTTTTGAGTACTATCGACAAGTTTCAAGCGGCTCTTTGTGGCGTGCGATACTAAAGCTTCTAAATCAGCGAGGACGAAGTCTGAACACATTTTAGATATTTTTTGTAAATCAGCCTCGCATTTTAGACCATTCATTTGAGCGACCCAAGATAATATTTCAATCCTTTCGTTTTGTGTTAAACTTTCGATTGTAATTTTGTCGACGAAAGTTGACTCAGTATCTATAGCCATTTCTGACTCACTTGATATGGCAAAAATAATGAGAGGAAAATTTAACTTTTTTCTGTACAATTTTTTTAAAGCTTCTGAGAAAGATGCAATGACTCTTTGATCTTTGTGACCTTCTGCATTGATGCCAAGTACCTAAAATAAAATGAAAATAAAGCATAGTTCATTGTTTAAAAAGATACAATTTGTAAAATCAAAAACCTCAATATTATGGAGCAAGAGGATACATGGTAGACATTGTTCTGCCTCATATAAAATGATTCTTAATTTTGCTTCAGTTTGTGCTGCTGTAAGGGCTTGAATATCAATTAAATTAGCTTCAAATATATTTAAGCCCAATGTTTCTGCTGCTAGTTTGACAAGACGTGATTTACCACAACCAGTCGGACCCTCCACAAGAAATACAGGTTTTACATCAATTTTAGTTTCTGCAGGGAAGAAAAACAGTTGATTGTTTTATTAAAAATGCAGCTTATATTTAAAAATAGGTCATACCATTCTGTAAAAAAGGCATAACGCATGATTGGATTTGCAAGAGTTGACCTATTAAAATTGGAGGCCAAGAACAAAAACTTATTTTTTCTTCATTAAGAATATCACAGATGCATTTACATGGAAGATAACTATGTATATTTTTCTCTTCTATAAGTGACGTTTTACCATATACAACAAAACTACCGTCTTTGGCCTTATCTTTTCCTATTCGAATATCATTTACTTTAAAAAATAATAAATTTAACTTTGAATTAGATACACAATATGTTGCTTCTGGAACATAATCTTTGACAGTAATTTGTAAAATATCATTTGGGCGTAGATATTTTGGCACTAAAAAGTAACTCTTCAATAGTTGATTCAACAGTTCTTCTGTACATTCAGATGGACTATTTATCAATGATATTTTTACTTCAGTGGCATATGATATAGCTTCATCATTTACTGAAACTAAAACATCATTTTATAAATAAGATGTATTTTAAGAAGTCAATAAGAAATTATATATTCTTACATAAAAAATATGTTGAATCTTCTTCAGGTATTGCTTTGAAATGTTTGTTTAGATTATTTTTTAAAACTTCTGATACATAGATTGTATTTAATGGAAGGTAGTCTACAAACAAAACTGCTACCTTATATTTTTTTCTAGATTTTTTTGAGCACAAATAAAACCAGTTTTTTGATTTATCCACATCTTTGTTGTTACATAAAATATATAAACCATCATCTATGAATTTTTCATTACATTCTTTGAATTTTGTTATGTATGTAACATATAATTTTTTAGGTAAACAATACAATTGTAATTCCATCTTTAACAGTCTTTGAAATCTCTTGAGTAAAAAATATATAAATAATAATTCACGTGTTGGCTTTTTCGTGAATTTATTGGTTAATCTTGATAAATAAACTAATAATCCAATTGATTGCTGAATGGAAAACATCTTTAATTTTTATAAATTTTATTCACAAAAATAGATTTAAGTATCGAGCTGGGCTCTACTTGTTGATTGCGTCGTTCTTAGATGACACAAATGATAAAAATATATGACATTTTAATCTTCAAACGTCACTGTGAAACAAATCACTATTCACAAGTGAATAGAAAACACGAACAAAAGATTATAATTTACAATAATCGCATCAACACCACGAAAAACTGAATTATCGAACAAAAAATTTAAGTAAACAAACACATTGACACATAAACAGAGCCAGGTTTCCAAAATACCGGTCTTATCTGCTATAAGTAGAGGTTAAGCGCATCAGTATTAAGATCTTTGACAGCCACTGGCTGAATGTGCAAATAGAGAGCACAAAATACTGGATTTAGAGAGTTCATCGCCCAATCATAGCGCGGCACGCGCAACCGGCTATCAAATGAGAACTTTCATCGAAATGCATCATAATATGTCAAACACTGACGGATCGAAAGTTATTATGATGGACTGTCATTTTTTTCCTCAAATGTTCAAATTTTTTATTATTTGTCGTAAAGAAAATAACGTAAAAAATAATTTTAATTTAATTCTGTTCAGAGAAATATTATTGAAACAAAATTATTGTTATTTACACCACAAATTTAGTTGAAAAATTAATTTCATCATCCACTTTTCTACATGAAAAAAGGGAGTTGAAATTTGAATTCAGATGTTTACTAATTCTTGACGTAAGAGATGCTCCGTGATTTTATCAGTTTTTTCAAGGATACGCTTAGTGAAAATAATTTGAACAGGACATCCAAAAATTGATCATTAGTAAAAATATTAGCCAAACGCATAAATATCCAGGCCAAAGCACAGTCACGTAACGAAAAAAAGGAGCCCCATTGGCGAGACGTATTCTCGCGAGCAGAAGACAATTAAAAGTCCGTTGCAAAACATACACGCGCTAGCGCACCGCTCCTGCACGAGATCAGCCAACCACAGGGCTCGTCCTCCGCACATAAACTGTATATCTTGCGGGTATACCTACATGGCCGTTGCGCTTGACGCCATACACATAATACAGCAGCAGCAGCATAGGACTGGCCTGTAAGCGCGCGAGATACCATGTTTACTGTTTAGGCGATTATAAACTGCACACACACACATACACACCAACTCGGGGATATAATACGCGCAGAGAGGCTGCGTCCGTGTATTACAGCGTATATAAGAGGTGGTGCGTACATGTATAAACCAAGGAGACGAGTCATCGTTGAAAAACTGACCCTCTCGATTCGGCTTACGCAGGAGTGTGCTTGGCGCTCGACACCACCCTGCCTGCAATCGACGCGCGAGTATAATCAAAGCGACGACCGCCGAACATTTTGCACCCGCGCGCGATAGCTGCTTTTTGTACCCGCCGTGAGGAGTCGTTCGACATCGACCTAACCTGTGATATTGTAAATTGTATATATCCAATTCGCACAGACTACTCAGAAGATATATATACAGATATATGTATAATATCTCCCATACTAATAGCGCGTGTGTGAGTGAAAGAAAGAGAGAGAAAGATAGAGAGGCAACGAGGACATTTGTGTGTGCAGAGTTGCATGGCCAAGTGTTTTTTGATTAAAGTGTCGTTGAATAGCGATTACAGGACAGAGACGAGAGCATGTTAAGATTTAAGGTAAGATATTCCACTCCAGGCCTTGCTTTGCCGTAAAATAATCGCAGAAACAGTGTCGGGATGTTCATGTCAAAAGGATCGAAAGTAGCGTGTGTGTTGAGTTTTATGAATATATAGGAGGGGCCGTCAGCGGTCGGAGCATCTGGTGCTCCTTTTTTATTTCAACGCGTTTGATTCATCGAATTCGTTATAACGCGTTCGATTCATTATTTTTTTTTATTTTTGGCAAAAAATAAAATTAAAACGAATCACAATGAACGCAGGACAATAGCTCGTCGATTATTGAGAGCACGATGTAAAATTTTATAGCATTAATGACCATGTGATCCTGTTCGATTCTTTGATAAGATTTATTTTTACTTGTAAAAATACTCTGAAAATTTTAATGATTAAATAACGAAAAGTAAACATTTTTACGTAGCATATGACATAATTCTGTTGATCATTTAAATGTCTAGTTAATGATTTCATTTACTTTAACTATTAATGTTGTGATTAATAAATGATACAGAGTTTAGCATTTTTATCTATAATCTATTACATAGACTGCATTTGAACATTTTCATTGAGTTAGATGTCATTGATAAATGATTTATTAACCTCTTAATAAAATTGAATTATTGAACATTTATTTCTTTATTGTTATAATTTATCAAATTTAATTTTTTATTTATAAAATTTGTTCTGTTTGAAGATTAAATAAAATTGGCTTGATAAAAAATGGAAAATACAGCAACTGTGATTGCCCAATGTAAAGAAAATATTCAACCCTTAAGACATGGAAGAAATGTTAGTCAACTTGGCACTGCTCTTCGTGCACAAGATGACGTTGAGGCACAGCAACTTATTCAACAAGAAAAACAGTGAGTTTTATTTTTGAACTAAATTTTGCCTTGTAAAATATATTAAAAAATAATAAACTGATTATTTTTAGGGCGTTTGAAGATTCAATAAAAAATTACGAAGGAGATGATCCTCTTGAAAATTGGTTTGATTATATATCATGGGTAGAACAAAGTTTTCCAAAAAGTGGACACGAATCTCCGCTAGCAAAACTACTGCAACAGTGCCTAACAACTTTTGAAAAAGATAAGAGATACCATCAAGATCGAAGGTTTATACGATTATGGATCAATTATGTAAGTTCACCAACAATTTAAAATCACTTGAAACAGCGATAGATATTTTAATTATTGTTTTTGCAGATAAGTGTACAAAAAAACCCCTTAGAGTTATATCAATTGCTATATACCAATGGAATTGGAACAATGATTGCTGATCTTTATCGTGCTTGGGCATTTGAATTAGAACAAAATGAAGATTACAAAAGAGCTGACGAAGTGTACATGATGGGTATAAATTGCAGGGCAGAGCCAAGAGACGAGTTGGACCATGCTCATAAGTAATTGCAAAAATTAAATATCTTTTATAAATTTAGATCTATTGTTCTGATGTATTTGTGAATTTTTAGGAATTTTCAATTGGCTGTAGCAAGAAAAACACTTGGGCATATGGATGATCGAAGTGAAGTTTCTGTTACAGAACAACGACAAGCTTTTAGTTCCTTAAAAGCAATTAGAGCTGGCAAAAAAGTTAGTAGTGTACGAACTGGTCATAGAGTGCGTGATTATATGCCTGGTGCAATCCCACAACAAATGAATTCCAATGGACCTCAAAAACCAAATGCAGGAATTCAAATTTATCAAGTAAATAATGGAATAATATTATTAAATTTTCTGATCGTTACATATAATTGCTTAAAAGTGACTCATGGTAACAAATTTCTTTTATCTTATTTTTAGGATGATGCACCAGCCAGTTTGAAGGGTTCTAGTATTTTAGATCACGTTCCAATCGATGATGCTGTGCATAAGGAGAATACCATAAAACCAGGACCATGGAACAATTCTGCTAGAAAATGTCCATTAATGACTTCAGCTGTAAAGCCATCTTTCAAAGGTAACATGAATGAGCTTATTGCTAAATTTACAATAGTTCAAAGAATTAAGTTTGTATTTTTTAAACCCAGTTCATGAAGATAACGAAATCCAAGACATGGAGAAATTGAGACTGTATCCAAATCATGTAGTTTTTTTTGATGGTAGAAAGTACTATGATCAGTACATGCAGGTACCCGTGTATGTCCCAGATGTGCCTAATCCAAATATTGTGTCAAAACCTCATTATCCCAAAGATTTAGTTTATGCCAATAATGTGGATTTGAGTTTAGAGCAGATAAGAGCTCAAAAATATCTTCAAAGGTAAGAATTTAAAATAAAACAAATCTATAATATATTTTCGAATTAAAGAAAATATACATAAAAATATCTATTTGAAAATAGCCGAGCTATGAAAGATCCGGAGCAAGCAATGGATCACCAAGACATTGAAAAATCAGATCATCAGGCGAAGTTGCAATTACAGCAAAAACGAGAAATGGAAGAATTCGAGAGACAAAGATTGCAAAGACAACGAGAAAGTGAACTGGAAAGGCAGAGACTTTTAGAAGAAGAGCAAAGAAGAAGTGAAGAAATGCAAAGACTGCAGCAGCAAAAAGAAGCTGAACTTGAAAGACAAAGACGATTAGAGCAACAGCAAAGGGAAGCTGAATTAGAACGTCAACGTTTATTAGAAAGACAAAGGGAAGCTGAGATGGAACAAAAAAGGATGATGGAACAGCAACAGAGAGAAGAGCAAGAAAGACAAAGAAAACTTGAACAGATGATGGAACAACAAAGACAACAACAGCAACAAAGTATGCACTCATCAAGTTTTTTAAGTCAGTATCATTCAGGAGGTGAGAATGAGTTACTTAGCCAAAGTATGACAGTTAACACTAAGGAGGCCGTAAGTGTTATGCAAGATTTTTGGCAATCGCCAAGCGGCCGAATAATGCCTAGTCCAGTCATGCAACGCATGAACTCCGAATCGCGTAAACTTGCGTTCAACATTCACATGGATAGTTCGATGACACAAAATGTTATGTCCAGCAATAAGCTTCAGCATCAACATCAACAGCAGCCAAATTTTCCTAATGTACAACCATACAATAACCAAGAGAATCATCACTATCATAATTCTTTTTCCAACCACGAGCATCAAAATTCTTCTTACGGAAGCCACTCACTTACTCAAAATCCTTATCATTACTCAATGCAGGTATGTAGTTCAAATAGCTTATCTTTACTTTGATGTAAATTGAATGAAAATATGTGATTTAACGTGTTTTTTTAGCAACACATGCAACAGCAGCAACAACAACATCATTCTCATCACGTTTCGCCATCGTCTTCGCATCAAATGATGCAACCTCAACCACATCAACCTCAACAGCCCCCACAGCATCACCAAATGCCTCATCATCTTCACGAGGCGCCACCGCACGCGATGCATCATCAACACCAATCACCAGTACAATCCCATTATCCTCATCATTACCCTCCGGCTGTACAACCAATGCCTCCTTCTCATCATGGGATATCCCATATGCAACATGTAAATACCTCTCAAGCAATGAATACTTCTCAGAATGCAAATACTTCTCCGAATATGAATGCTTCTCAGAATATAAATACATCTCAACACATGAATACACCTCAGCATGTAACTCCACCTCAACATGTGACTCCATCTCAGCTTATGAGTCCACCTCAGCATATGGGCACATCTCAGCATATGAGTACACCTCAGCATATAAATACACCTTCACATGTGAGTGTTTCTCAACATATGAATTCATCTCCACATGTGAATGTTTCTCAACAAATGAATTCATCTCCACATGTGAGTGTGTCTCAACATTTGAATTCATCACAGAATATAAATAATTCACACATGAATTCTCACCATCTAAATTCATTGCAACATATGAATACTTCTCATATGAGTACACAGTCTTTGAGCACCTCACAAAATTTGAATACATCTCAGCATATGAACACATCGCATCTAATGGGTAATTCTATGGGTATAAATACGTCGCAGCAAATGATGCACTCACCGCATCACCCTCACATGCCTCATCAACATACTCAACAAGCAGTGCTGCAGTCCCCTCATCACCAACATCAACAGCATGTTCAGCCACAACATCACATGTATAATAGCCCTGTGCCAAATAATATGAACTATGCTCAGCCTTATGCATCACCGATGCAACCACCTTACCCAAGTCATGATCAAGCTAAGCAAGTAAGACGTCTTCATTTTATTAGATAACAGTAAAAACTACCTTTTACGAACAAAATTTATTTTATTACCACCTTTTCATCTTTTTAGGTTCAATATCCAGGCTATCCAGAACAGCAGCATCCTCAAGAACAAAAACCTCCATCATACCGTATGCCACTCGAATTACCGCACATAAAATCTCCGGGTATGAACCGTCGAGACATCGAGTACCTAGAGAATGCCGATAACAAAGAAAATAATGCAACAGTTGGTCTGGAAGATAGTTCGATAAAACAACAGCCTCCTCAAACTGACGAAAATAATTTATATACTGATGAAAGTCTGGGCATCGCGCCACTGCCAGGTGTTAACGAGACGTGTTACACCGAAACATTCAATAGACCACTTATTGCATCGACTCCGATGACACACAACTTTAAGACTTACAAATCGCCAAGAGATATGCCGCCACAACACCATCCTCATCAACAGCTGCATCATCAGCAAGCAGTGCAACAGTATCATCATCAACAACATCAGCAACAACACCAGCCGCAGCATGCACTTCCTCAACATCAGCAACACTACTACGATAGCCAACCTGTTGCACCGCAGCCACCACTCCCACCGCCGTAAGTATTATGGGACATACTTGTTGAGTGTATTGATTGCTTTCGTCATAGCGATAAACCTTTTTTACGATTCTCACGCAACAAAAAGTGAATTTTACTCAATCGCATTTTTTCTTGACAACGTTATTGATGATTCTTTGCCGATTTGCGCGTAGTGAAAAGTAAAATAGTTTTTAAAGATCGAAAACACTGATTTTTATGCCGACAAAACTATTGGCGAGTAGATTATCTCAGTTAACCATTTGTATTATATATACATTAGAACATAAAAAAGTCCGATATGAAAATTAGCGCGACTAATCTATACGTGTAACATGAAATTGCAAGCTTGTTGCGGGTAACTCTGATTCATTTTTTTTCTCGTTCGTACTTCTGACCTATATTTTTTTTTAATAATTTTAGAGCTCAAGCAATGCCACCACCGCAACTGGGGGAAAAATTAAGCGTTATTATGGAAACTACTAGAGAATACGTTTCCAATAGTTCAACAAGCAGTGGTACTCCTAGCGTTGGGTCAACCATAAAAGAACAACCAATTGGTACGTACTGTATTTTTAATATTTTTTTCTTTGAGTTTTTGAATTAACATATCAACCCTTTTAATAGATTCTATGCATTATCGAGATGCGTATGGAAACCAGCAATTGCAGCAGCAAGAGCAGCAGCAACAACAACAACAACAGCAACAACAACAACAACAGAAATCCCAAATACCTATTAAGAAAATACGTGCTCAAATAAAAACTAATGACGTTCAGAGTCCACGAACGATTCAACGTGGAGTTGAGCAAATTACTAGTGATATCAAAAACAACTGCGATTTACGTAAATCGATTAGTTTTAATTCGCCCGAAACTGCCATGGATTGCGAATATCAAGAGCCAATGGAACAAGAAAGTAAAATTGAAGAACCAGAAAAAGAAGAACCTCCTTTCGAAATGCCTACGGGCGATTTTAATCCTTTCGACAAAACATTGATAAATGGATTATTAAGAATGATCAAATTTCCAAAAGAGCAGCACAGTGATGGCTATGTCAAGTTGACGACTAATCTTATAAAATTCGTTCCCTCTGCTACAATAAGTCTCGGTAAGTGTTTTTACATAATAAATAAATGGTGAACTAACCGTAAATAATAAATTACTATTAAAATATTTCAATGTTCGTCAGGAAATGACATGTATGATTTGGATAAGTGCCTTGGCAAAGGAACGTATGGTACGGTGTTTAAAGCAACCGACTTACAAACACGTAAAGTTGTTGCGCTGAAGACTCAAAAACCAGCTTGGGTATGGGAATATTATATTGCCAGAGAAATAAAGTCACGTCTAAAGAATCCTCATATGGTAGGTTTACACATAAAAACACATACAAAAGAATCGTTATAACATTCTTAAAACTCCTAATAATTGATTTAGTTGCGAGGCTTTATGGATGTAAGACATGCATACGTAGCAGAAAATGGAAGTGTCTTAGTAACTGAATTTTCAAAATATGGTACACTGTTGGAGGTGACAAACAAAATTAAGGTATCAACGGGAAAACCACTGAGCGAACCATTGGCTATTTTCTTTACAATAGAAATGTTAAAAATTGTTGAGTACCTGCATAAATGCCAAATAATCCACGCAGATATAAAACCTGACAACTTTTTACTTATGCATATGTAATTATTATTTTTTAGCTACCAAATTTAATCTAAAACATTTTAATAAAAAATTAACGGTATTGAACTTTCATCAGGCCTCTTGAGGATTATAGACCAACTATTCAATTGATAGATTACGGTTGTAGTATAGACATGAGTCTATTCCCTGAGGATACTAAGTTTACTCAAGTTATCAAAACAGAAGACTTCACATGCATCGAAATGCAAACCGGAAAGCCCTGGACTTATCAAACCGATCTATTTTGTCTAGCTGCTTCTAGTCACTGTCTTCTATTCGGAAATTACATGAGGGTCTCGGTGAGCGGTAAAAAATGGTATATTAATTCCAAACTTCCTAGGTAAGTGTAATTTTACGATATATATGTAATTTACGATGAGCAAAAATAAAAAGTCTAACATAAAATTTTTTTTCATTAGGTATGCCAAGAAAGTTGTATGGGAGCAATACTTTACTGAAATGCTGAACATAGAGTCATGTGATAAATTACCTAATTTAGCAAAGCTGCGAATCATGATGGAGGAAGCACTGGCCCAAATGCCTGAGTTGCAAACGAAATATAGACAATTTTCTAACATCTTGAACAGTCGATAACGCTTACTTCAAGCCGCTGTTTCTTACACAAACTATTTTTACTATGCGTTAGCCGTCTTGTTCAAATATTGTTCCGCGCAGTAAAAATCAATTCCTTCCTTTTATATTTCTTTTAAAGTTAAAAGAATGAGTTGATTCTTTAATCGAGTTTTCGAATAATATATTGTACGGTTGTATAAATGCTTATTTTTAAGTCAACTTAGCTATTTTAGCTGGGTTATTTAAAACTTTCGCAGTTCTATACACTTACTTGTGATTTCATTGTATACTAAGAGATGATAATGAAATATTTTGGTGAATACTTTATTTTGGAGAACTAAGTACCGACCAATATGAAGAAAGATTTTTATTAAAAATCTACGAAAGTTCCCATTAATAAGACTCATCTAAGTGCTCTAAATGTTTAGAATCAATGGTTATGAAAATACTAATTTTACCTTACTGAAAGTTATTTGAAAATTCAGTAATTAAAAAATTAGCCAATGTAGAAACCCTCAGCTTACTTTTTCTAATAAATCTTGGAAATGCCAAAATGTCCTAAATTTCAACAATCAATTTGGAGATGCAATAATAATATGGATTTGTATTTTAGAAACAATGAATACTTTACGAATATTTCGTTTTAATTTTATGGTATTATGAAAAAAAAGGGTGCTTATAAGACAAGGGTAGGGCTTATTCCGATTTCATTCGTTTAAAAGTAGCGATAATATTTATCATCGGTGCAAATGGATTTTTTGAAAAAACATGTATGCCAATAAAACGTTGAATCGTTTCTTTAAAGAGTAAAAGTTATGAAATATGATAGAAAAAACGTCACTTCGCCCCTGAACCATAAAAAGATTAGATCCATTTTAATATGGCGTACTGAAAAACTAGCGTACAAATGAGTTTCTCTATAAAATAAGCTAAGGTATTAGAGAGTGAATGTAAACTAAGGAACATGGACAAAGATTTCAAATTTGTGTTAGGGGCGTTCATTGTTAGATTTTATAAACCTTATAAAACCGTACAGGATCGTGTAATTGTAATTATTAATTGAACATACGGTGGTTTGCGTGGGTGGCGATGAAACGTCAAACGTGGTTTTTATCAAGGTGTGCGTTGTAATAATGAGTGGAAGAGAATAATGCACGTTCAATCTTTATATTATCAATATGTATACTTTGCCTTATTAGAACGATGCTGTGTAAAAATTGAATGAATTGTACTATTGAAACCAATTAAAAATAAATAAGTAACTATTGCTACTTGTGAAGTAAAGAACTTATTTATTTGACAGATCTTTAAGTCTGAATGCCAAAACGCAACGTGTATAATTTATCGAAGTTTTAAAACAGGTAAACAATATTCCGCAATGGCTTCTGACCTTTTTAAAAGTTAATGTATTTAGCCTTTGCTTATCTAAAAACATTAAAATTACATCATTTTCTAATAATAAAAACAGAAAGATACTTTTAAAATTTATACTTTTTAATTTCCATACCTTAAGTATTATATTTGTTTAACATTAGATTAGAAATTGATTTCACTAATTAAACTTTACAAATATATTTGTATTTATAATGATTTTGAATTGAACCTTCTTCATATGGATAAAAAATTTCCATCTCTTTACATGATTATTTTTACATAACTTAATATCAAAGTTACTACTTTTTACAATTAAAATACGCATGAGTACTTAATTTTTTCCAACAAATAAAATCATTTTCGTGAAATGTTATTTGTATGTTTAACTAAATTAAAAATGAATTTTAAAATCTTCCTACATACATGATTTCATTTTCAAACATTATTTTTTATACGTTCGCTCGAGTCGATTGAATAATTTTTAACAAACGTCATTCGAAAGAATAAATTAATGATTTGCAAATAATTAATCTTTCCTTTTATAAGCATTTTTCCATTTCACAATATTTAATACTGACTTAATATTTTTGTCATACTTTTAATTGTTAACATTTACAGAAAGTGATTAACACTGAGCTCATTATAATATTTCTTATGATCTAAATTTGTTGAAATATAATAAATAAATGTACAAAATCATAAAATACTCAAGACGGTATTTCTAAAAATCATACCTTTCATTTTTGACTGAAGAGAATTATGAAAGATTTTTATGCTGTCGATGCTAGTCGAAGACGCGTTATAAGTTTTAATTACTATCTTAATTTGTAAAATTTTACTTTTTACCGTAAAATTTACAATTAATCAAATGCAACAGAAGATTAACATTTACTTGGACTTCCCCAAACATTGTTATTATGTGGCAACCTTCATATTGAAGCTCGAGTAAATTTTGTACGTCTACTTCAACTTTTTCCATGGATACTCCCATGAATTTTCCGCAAACTGCGAATACTCCATTTCGTTCAGCAGGGGATATTTCGAATACAACATTTTTCATATGACCATCTGGTAAGTTATCAAATTTCACAATTATTCCTTTTTCTTTCAATTTAGTTGCGGTAAATTTCAAAGTTGATTTAGATTTAAGGCGTCGGAGTCCACTCTTATTCCCAGTTTTGACATCATGCAGTGATCTTTAAAAAAAATGTTTATTCATTTGTAACGAGTGTAATATGCAATTCATAAGAATACATGGTATGATAGTTTCGAGATAATGTTTTGAAATGTGAATAAATATTTTCTTATTACAAATGTAATATTATTAAATAGTAAGTTGAGTCCTTACTTTTTTCCTGCAGAGAGATTTTCCAAACATTTTTTGATATATTCGCTATAAAATTGAACTTGCTCTTCGTAGTATTTTGTTTTTTCGTCAAGACGCTGCTTAGTATTGCGAAGTGTTTTCAATTCTTTTTCTCTTAAAATATGATAACGACTTTTGTTAGCCAAATCTTTGGCTACAGCCGTAACAATCGCTTGATAACCGTTATCACGTGATACCAATCCATACAACTCCAATTTTTTGAGTGAAGCCCGAATTTGACGTTTACATTGTTCCAAAGTTTCGCTGAAAATAATAATTTCCGTTCAAGGCCATTCTTTTTTAGTTATAAAGTGGCTGAATAGTTTAAGAATAGTTTGAAACTTTACCTCTTTGTATTCAAATCAAGCCTGTTCTGTTGCCTTGATCGTTTTGGTATTGGAGTCAGTCCACCTTCTAAAGCTTCAATCAAAGTATCGCCAGGTAAATATGGAAGTACCGAAACAAGTAACTCTTTAGTTGTGATGAACATTTTCTTCATGGAAGTTTCATCCGTTCTGTGTTCTTCATATTTTTTGCTCAGAACGAGTGTGATTTCGGTTTTTCCCAGGTGTAAGAAGTTACTATCGAGTTTAGGCTGACTTTTTCCTAATAGTTTTGGTATGGTAGGTACACCTCCGATGTCATCAAGCAATTCATGCATCTGGTCTTGTGGATCTGGTGCTATCAAGTCTTGATGCTCGACAAGTAAAGTGTGAGTATCTATCATTTCCTGCACGGAGATTGTGATGACCGGTTTTTGTATAAGAGTTTCTTCACTGTATTCTGACATATTGAAATGTTCGTCAAGATCCTCAATGTCGCAACAGTCCATGAAGAACTTTTTAAATTTTATGTGACAATCAATAATAAATGGATTTATACGTAGCAAATGCTCCTCGGCAAACTAAAACAAGAAATCAAATCATAATATTCTTTCAATATTTGCTTTTTTTTAGATTTTATAAATATTAAACTCACCCCTTTTTTTGATGCAGCGAAGTGTAGAATTTTAGCAACGGTGGCTAAATTTCTTCTTTGTTCATTTGAGAGCGACTTGTTAATCGGTAATGCAATAATATCGAAAGCGTCGGGTGTTACTATTGCTGGATTAAGGAACTGAAAGTATATCAAGTTTCCGACTATTTTGATAATTTCTTTGTGCGCAACGTGAGGAAACTTTTCCTGAAGAGTTTCATTAAGTATTTTGGCCATATAACATACACCATAAGGTATCGAGTCTCTTGAGGCAATTATGCAAGTTAGTAATTCATCAGTTATTTCTCTCAAGACTTCAATGCCTTTTTTCAATCGTTCTCGCACTACTTTGAATCTCAACGCTTCGTGTTCAGTAACTCTCAATGGCAAGTCTCTGTGATCGATGTTTAATAGTTAAAATATGTTTCTTTAGAAGAATCTCAAATTATCAATAAATTACTCACGCTGATTTTCCGGACTCCATTTCTAGAGTATTTCTCCAAGATTTGAAAATATCAGTCGGGTTCGATTCAATAATTAAATTTGTATTATCAATCATTTTCTGAATAGTGGGTCCAATAATATCACGTAAAGCGCGCTGGCCGAGTTTTCTTGCGTAATCGATGGCGACTTTTAATACTAAAGGACTTGCTGTTACAACCTCTGAGGGTTTAGTGTACTTCGATCTGTTGATGAAAAAATTCAAATTGCAGTAAAAATATTTAGTTGCTAATAATCGAATGCGATTTAAATTTTTACCGTATCTCCTCTCTCAGAGCATTACCCAAAAGCTTGAGAAGTAGATATTCTTCACGCGAGTTACAACCAAAATTAAAAAGTTGCAGAATAACGTTGTGAATGAATTTATGTGATTTATTTTGCGGCAAAAGAATCAACAATTTTGACAGATAGTTAGGGTTCGTTTGAAGTTCATAAAATAAATGCTGATAGCCTTCAAGCATTTGACGGCCCTCTTTCGTTAACGATTTCAAACCTTTTTGAGTACTGTAAATTTCATTTTCAAACGAGTATTTATTGCTGTGGTAATCTTTTTTTTCAAAACCTTTCGTCAGAGTCAAGTTTTCTAGATCTTTACCATGTCTAACTACGTCCTAAAAATGAAAAATGAAAAAAAATTCAATAAAAAAATTGGTACATGAAATAGTTCAAATTCCCACTAATTATACCTGAAGAGTAATACGGTTTTGAATCAAAAGTCCTATTTTCAAATCCATATCATTTAGTTGTTTTGCAAGATTTTGATTGTGTTTAATCGATTGTACAACGTCAGCCTTCAATTGCTATTAAAAAATTATAAAATAATTATTATTTTTGGCAATTGAATTATTCGTGGATGATATTTACCTCTAATAACAAGTCCTTGTCGTAGTCTTTTGAACTGAACTCTAATTTGCATGCAAAACTTCTTACTACATAATACGGCGGATTATCCATTCGCAGCAGAGAATGAAAGTTTCTGCGCGCTAAACGACCGCGCCAAAGTGCTTGGATTTTAATAATATCGTCCTCCTAAAATTTCAAAGTTTAACGAAACTATTTATAAAAAAAATTTGGAATTTACAGGATTTTAGAAACATTTCATTTTCAAACTTACGTGACTTCTATAATAACTCAAACTGTCTGATGATTTACTACCTATACCAGATGAATAATCTCTTGTAGTATCTTCGTGTAACGTTTTGGTAAAAGTACGAGTTTTTAAGACTTTACGCCACCAAATTTGAATCGATATAATCGCTTTTATTTTTCTCAATAATTTTCTGCGTGTTAAGCAACCTCTTGCGTGAGCTTGAAAATTGATGAGTGATCGATCGAAATGTACTTTTGTATCCGCAATCCGAATATTCATAACGGCTTCCTTAAATTCATAATGAAAATTTGTACTACAAATTGTAAATTTTTAAAACTTGCAGCATTTAATACTCACTCGTACATCATCTAACGTAATAGTAGAGGGTTCTCCAATATTTTTTGGCTTTTCCCACTCGAAGCCTGCGGTTATTGGATTCAGATAAACAATATTATTTAATGGTGTCATATATTCTATGATTGGACAACTATATTTTTCCTCCTAAGTGTTGAATTAAAAATTAGTAGTAACAATTTATTAACAGACAAAAATTTATTGACAGACCATTGGCTTAAAATTACCTTATACTTTTTCAGTTCCAGCAATTTTTCGTACGCTTTTACTTGATTCGTTTTGTCAATTTTTTTAAAAAACATCTCTATATTTTCGGTTACTAACAATACATCTTTCCGCTTTAAACCTTCATTTATATCATACATGAAACTGGCAACTGTAATCAATTTTTAATGATGAAAAGGTATGATGAATTTAATTTATAATGAATAAACACAAACCTGATTCTACGTGGTCATGTTCCATCTTTGCAGATTCAATCATTTCCTGTATATCTTCTAACCAAAGTCCGGAGCCATCAGCGTGTTTTTGAACCAGATTTTTTTTCAAAAGAATCATGTACAACATTACATTTTTTTTTTCAAAGGATGCATTAATAATTTTTCCAATTTGTTCCAAAATAGAAAACATCTTGTCCTTTTGATTTCTTTTAACAATTTGAGTTAATAGTTCTAATTTTGTTATGACTTCAAAAACAAATAAAAATGAAAATTAGAATTTGTAATTATTAGACAAAGGTAAAATTAATTTCTTATAAAAATCGTATTACTTTTTGTGTCTTCGAGGCATTGTTCATTTACCGAATCAATACAATCTTGAATATCAATATACGTTAGCAAGGGACAAACATTTTCAACTAGACGCTTTTCTTCACGAACGGCCCGAAGTGCCTGAGTATACTTGACTTTGTGTTCAACTTCTAAATTCTGTGAAATGAAATTTATAAGGAAATAAAATAATGTTCAATTGTAAAGAATTAACTAAAATCAATTATTTACCTGTATATGAGTGTCAGGATGTCTTAAAGCATCATATACCATATTAGGATTATTCATATCCACTGCTTTATTTACGTTACCAATAGCTGTTAGTACATTTAAACAAGCCACAATATCTTCGTAAGTTAAGTTTGCCTGAAAGTACAAAACATTATCTTATAAATTAAAATTCATATAGAATTAATATACTTATAAAAATCATTATTAACCTCAGTTTCAATACGGTCAATTTTCATTTCTTCAAAATAAAGCGGAACAGCAAAATCATCAACAAGATGATCAATTCCTAAATTTGGATCCATCAATGTATTGTAAAAATCATTTTCATTGCAACTCAATAAATTACAATTTAAATTATCAATCGCTTTTTTACCTATTAGATACAAGAAAATAAAGAAGTATAATGTAGTTTTAAAATATTTCTAAAATTCTTGAATGTACTAACGTAAAGACATTTTTTGAGCTTTTCCATTTGCATTATCGATCGATTTTTGTAATTTAGTTTGCCAATAATTACAACTTTCTGTAATACGTTCTTCCCACTCATTAGATGCTATTAATAATTTTAATTCTGATTTGTAGAATTTATAATTTTTTGAATTTACATTTTTCAATTGCAAGCTAGGATCAGATAAAATTGGTATGATCTCTGGATTCGTTTGATTCATTTGATCAGTTAGATGTTGCAAGGCAGACTGAACTGTAATAATTAAATTTTGTTATTGTTTAAATTTAGTAGGCACAAAAAATTTATTTCACATTACTCACTATTAACAAAGGTGATATGTCCCTGTATTTCTGCATGAGTCAATATTTTATCATTTTCATCAGGTACATAACTATCATTCAAAGACTGCATAAATTATTAAAAAATGAGCATTCAGTTTACTAATGTAAATGTATTTTATTCATAAAATTAATAAAAAAAAATTACCCTGTTCATAGCAGATTCTTCCTTTGATATTTTTGCATCATATAATGAACATAAATACAATTCTGAATATTCAGGTTTCAAAAATTGGATTTGAGCATTAGGTTTCTCTAATGTATTCAGCAATGTTTCTTGGTTCTGTAATTTAAGTAAAAAAACAAATAAAAATCAATTAAAGATTTTTCAAGTTTTTAATAAACTCATAAAAAGATAACTTGATGTATTACCTTTAATGTTATTGCTTTGTTAATATCAGAAACTGCTTGATGTAAAGCAGCTGTATCACCTTCATTACTATTTGTTAGTAAACCTCCAATTTTCTGAAAAGCTGGCATTTGAATACCCTTGTTTATTAATTCTCGTTCCATGGCATCTATTTGTTCATTTGTGAATTTCACTTTTCCATACAAGTCTTGGATTAAAGGTGCTTTTCCCAACTTGAATAAATGGGTGCTCAAAGCATGAATACAGTATACCAATCGAGGCATATTTTTTTTGTCGTAAATATCCGTAGTTTCTGGTTGAAACAACTGAAAATTATCATGATTTGTCATTCAGCATACAATTATATTAACAAATTAATTAAATATTAATACTAAATAGGATAAATTTGATCACTTACCAAGGGTAATTGCATTGATTTCAAACATTTAAGAAAATTAATAATATTATCTGTATGACGAAACTGTAAACCAGCTACTGAATATCTTCGCTGATCAGGATCATATATCTTATGAAATGGTAAGATCTCTGGTGCCATAAAGTTTCCAAGCTTAGCCAAGTAAACGCCATTTCGTAAATTTTCTTCCAATTCTGTTGTAGGTGGAAGTTTTTCTCTTAAGCATGTTTCCATCCACCTGCAAAATATTAGTTTTATGTTATTGTTTATGCAGACATCACAAACATATAAATTATCAATTTAGTTTTTAATGTTCACCAATTCTCCACCTGCAATTACGTGTGCCCTGAGATTTTTTCATTCAAGATACGTATTATAATATTCATATTGACATGGATACTTACTTTTTGGCAGCTTCCAAATTACACAAATACATATAAGCTGAATCATTTTGTCTCGTTTCATCCATTTCTTGAGCTGTTTTTCTGCCATTGCTCATTCCTGTCAATGAAAAGCGGATAAAAATTCAATGAAAAATCAATCCAATTTTGCGAGCAATCATAATAATGCCACGAATATTTTTCCAACATCGAGATCATAGTGTACGTAAGCTATGCGAACTTGCTGAAACTCACTTGTATCGTGAGCCTCGTGAGGTCCCACTTGTTGAATCTCCGTTATTTTCATGATTTTTGCGTTCAGCGATGCGAATTAAAGGGACATGTCACGCTAAACACGGAATACGTTTAAATGAAAACATACACACGCGAATTGACGGACGCGTTCAAGCAAAACAAAGATGCTGCGAGTTTGCCGGCTTTTTTAACGACCTTTCCCCCACGCGTTTCGAGAGCGATTTGAAAAGTTCGTTGCAACAATACACCACACACACGCAGGGCACGCGGACAACTCCGTCCTGATTGGGCTTTCAGTGGTGGACATAAGGTACGTTTGATTTGTAAGTAATTACCGTCACGAACTTCGTGATAATTAAAGCGGAAAATATTAAAATTAATTAATATTACGTTCAAATAGCACATTGAAATTGAATTCGGATAGTCGCAAGGAGGTCATTCTGAAGAATATCTTCGACTTGATCGACTTTGAAACATAGTGAATTAGATTCGTTCGGTTCGAGACGTATCAATAATCTATTCGATGACGTCTCAGAAACGTTTCAATACGTGAAAAGACGAACTCAAGACGTAATGCTTGTTTCTGCTAGGCGCTGGCCAGGCAGCGTAAATTAGGTTAGGCCATTGACAAAAGTCGCGAAGCCGCATTTCGAATCGACGCGAAATTCCATCATCGATCGATTTGTAAACACTTCAATATCGAGGAAATGTTCTGGTACGGTGGTCCATCGAGACTTCAAGTATTTGCCGCCGGCTGCATGGGAGTAGCGACCAGCTATTACGTTTGGGTTCCGGCTTACAGACAGCGGGCCCTGGAGGAGCGAGAAGCGAGAGAAGCAGCAGAACGGAGCCGCAATGACAACAACAACTCGCAGCAGCAGGGTGAAAAAATCTCATCGTAGATGTACGATTGTCTTCTGCTAGTCTCTGTAGATTTTGTGTACATATATAATAATGAAAAAAAAAAAAACGATTGCTCAAAAAGCTGTCACGTACGTCAAACGACGTCAATGTATAAATTTGATAAAGAGCATGTTTATATTATAAAAAAGTGTCGCTCGTAAGTTGTCCTAAGTGAATTTACAGATATTGAATAAACGATGAGAATTATTCAAACGACTGTGTCTGCCTTCTATATTTACCAACATCGACTTCATTAATTTTTCATGACACTTGGAATGGAACATGTCCAAAAGTAATGTAACATCTCGTGTAAAATGCACGAGACGACCGTGCCACTGCTACTGCCCAATGTCTATGCTGTGTCCGAAAAATTGGTTTTTCGTTTCTCGCGGCTCTTTCGCGCTGGTGTACTTTCAATTAATCGAATTATTATTCCCTCTCTCTCTTGATGAACGCAAGCTTACGCGCAAAACAATATCGAATCGCGCTTGTCTCTACTGGTGCTGGCCAAGTTTTTGACGGACGCTCGAGAGCTCGTGAATATTAATTCACCTCCGCGCGCTCGATGCCGTGAATTCACATCTCGGAGCTGTATTAAAAATAATACGGAAGTTTGTAAGCACGAGAAGCGAGAATTAATTACGATGATTCGGAGTTAATCCGAGCGATATATAATAGGGGTGCTACGTGGTGTTTTAAAAGCTCGAAGCACGACGCTCCAAGTAATTACGTTAGTATACAACAGCTTCCGAGGAAATTTCGAGCTCTTCGTTCGGTATACGTAATCGCGTAAACTGTTTCACGACGGCAGGGTAAAAATAACAATTCGTACACTTTGTGCATTGCTGAATATTATATTTCGTGTGTTGACTGTAGTTTTTCATTTTTCTCTTTTTTTGCTGCGCCGACAAGGGCACGTACATTCGCAACACGCCCAAATATAAAGTTCAATCTCTGTGGCTCAGCACTGGTCGTCGCACTCGACCTTGGGCAGTCTCACGCACTCGTGGAACTTGACGCCGAAGGTGTAGCCCGGCCTCTTGCAGCATTTCAGGCGTTGCGGGAAGTACTTGGCCGGTCCGGGTCCGTCGCAGCGGGGCCTCGACTTGGGCCGCGTGCCTATGCTGAACTTGGGCGGACACTGGTAGACGAGGCAGAGCGGGCCGGGATCGCGAATCGGCGGACTGAACTGGCACGGCTTGTCCTTGGGCTTGCCGGCGCTGCGCAACGGAAAATCAATTTTACATTATCGTCGTTTTGTGCTTGACATTTAACTCGGTGGAGGTGCGTCGAAACTTACAACGCGAATGACGGTCCTGGTGGATATATCGGTGGATCGTAAGGTCCGGAGGTCGGTGGCGGGCAGCGGCTCTTGGGCTTCGGCACGATCGAGAACGCCGGCGCCCAAAAGCCGGGCAGGTCGTACTTCGGTCCCGGACTGCAGCTCTTGGCTGTATATTAGGCGAAAACAATCAAATGAAACTCGGTTTTACGTGAATCGGTTTATCCGCTGTGATTACCTGGATTGTGTACTGCTTTCGGAAAGGTGTAGCCGGGAATGCCCGGCGGTTTGATCATGTACTTGGCTGGTCCGGGCCCCAGGCAACTCCTTCTGGCCGGGACTATTTGGCCGATCGTGTAGGCCGGCTCGCGCCACTTCGAGTGGCAATGGTCCTTATAACCCACCACGGCTCTCAGGTTGTACTTCGGCCCAGGCGCTGAAGAATCAGACCGGTGATGATTTCGTAAATCAAGATCGGCAACTCCCAGCGAGAAAAAAAAGTAGCTTACCTTGAACGCCGCACGACTTGGCACAACTGTCCTTGTTCTTGTTGATCTTGTGTAGATTACGATCGCCATTGTCGCACTTGTCGGCCTTTTTGCTGGGCATTTTGCTCTTTTTTTGGATACTTTTTTGAAATTTTAATTACTTATGATGTCGCCCAATACGCTTCACGAGAAGTTTTTTGGGGTTACGGAAAAATTTTGATGTGAGCGGCCGAAAGGGTTGCGATTGAATGGCGAGAATAAAGGACGATCTACGCGAGCTTGCGCGCAGCCGAGCTTCATCGCGCCAATCGACGGTCGCTACACCTAGCAACGAGATTATATAGCGATTCGAGCAATGATTTTTATTTTTCATGTTAATCGTGAATAAATAAAAAAGTACACAAAGATGTTTGGGAAGACATTTTAAATTTATTTGTCAGGATAACGATACAATTGATAAAATGCAAAATTTTATTTTTAAATGTCATCGGCCGGTGTCATCGGCACCGTCATACATTCGCTGTGCTTCATTCCAAATGAGAATTTCGGCTCTTTCTTTTTGATCAATTCGATGGGATAATAGTACTGAGGTCCGGGCGAATGTATCGTGTCAAAGGTTTTGTGACGGAATTTCATCGAATAAGCGGGACAGTTCTTTTTGTAGGTTTTCAATTGGTACTGATAGGCAGCCGGACCCGGGCCGATGTGACGAATTTTGCTCTTCGGTTTGAAAGCCCTTTGAAACGCAAATCAATTAGATCAGTTAGATGGGGTGAATGTAATTTTTTTAACGATAGAAATTTGATAACCAACATTGAGTAAGCTCCTTCTGCTTTTATGTCTGGTATGCCAGGCCCAATACACGTCGGAAGCATATAAGTAGGACCTGGGCCTACTTTGAATCTGAGTAAATCATGCCTGGCTGCTATAGTGTACGCTGGAGCTTTTTTTATGTGATTTACGTAAGGATTTTTTTCTGGTGCATGTGCTCCAGGACCAGGTTTCAAATCGTGCTCTACATCAAATCAATTTGTTATTTTTCATGGCTTTACAGTTTACCAGTCTATACGATATTTTTAGCTTACGCTTTCGATCGTGTTTGAATGCCATGGTATAAGCTGGTGGCTTGTATGGACCATGTTGAGTAAACTTTTGGTCCACGGAATAGGGCCCGGGAACTACCAAGTGTATTTTTTGTTTATGCCGAAATTTCATAGTATAGGCTGGTTCCCGATGTTTAGATGGATCATGGTCATCGAATCCAATAAGATTTTTCAATCTATATTGAGGACCAGGTCCTAGCAAAAATATTGAAGTAATGCTTTTAATTGGTAGTTCTTGGAGATCAATAACAAGCTACAGGGCTTTAAACTTTTTACCTCTTGGCATGCATCCGAGGCCTTTAGATTTGGATTTTTGATTAAACGATTCCATGATGAAATACTATCTTACAATTTGACACACCAAAAATTTTTTGAAAACTAAAAGTTCAATGTAATTAACCTATTGATACAAATTCATTCTAACAAGTGGTGTCAATTTAGAAAGAAAAAATGACAATCAATCGCAACAACTTTCATACGTATATTATACCATCTGGTATAGATATATATTTCAACATAACAAAATATATGTACAGAATAGAAAAATATGTGGGTAAAAATTATCACTCTTCATCAGATTCAGAGTCATAATCGGATGAATCACTGTCAAAATTGTCTTCATCTGCATCACCTTCGTCGTCATCTTCATTATTCGCTAAGGAATTCAATTTCTCTAATAACTCTTGCTTTGTACGAGTCACATGTTTTGGTTCTGGAACATGGCTATCATCTGAATCATCATCATCATCATTATTATCTTCCTTTTCTTTTGATTCCTCTTCACCTTGTTCATATTCGAGAAGGCTTTTACCAACTTTGGCATTGTGCTTGCTATTTTCTTTCTTCTTCTTCTTTTTGTCATGTTCTGTAATAAGATATTTCATTGTATCAAAAGTTAGTCATTAAAACTTAAATTCTATTAAAATTAAAAATAAAGTAATAACTTACGCTTTCCATTCATGTATCTCATAAACGTTCTTCTCTTGCGCTCTGGCAGAGATCTGAGCATGGCAGTCATCTCAGCATCCAGTTGTTGCTGTTCTTCTTTGCTCGGTTGAGCAGGCACCAACGATGCTTTCTGTTCGCACTTGGGGCACGCATCTCGCTCTCTGGCACAAGGCCCACACATTGTGTGATACGCATGCTTGACAGTCTTCTGATCACACTTATTACACTTTCCAGGCTGCTTCAATGGCTTGTACTTCTTGTACTTGATTTTCCATTCAATAATCGACTTGCATCTTTGACAGACATTTGCTATTTGCAAACTATTGATCTTTTTTGTGATGTGTGAGGTGTCGTGCATGGAATTTTTGAATGCAAATGTATTCTGATGCTTTGGAGGTCTGGTCCTCTTGACGTTGCCTTTTTGTGAACTCATTATTACTAAAAAAAGGGCCGACGTTGCAGTCGGTAGATGCAACTATCGCTAAAAAATTCACAGACACACCCGGTACAACACTCGAGTGCAACAGTTCGTTGTTCTGCTCAACTCACTGTGCACAACGTGTTCGAAAAATTACACACGGCGTTAAAGGTTATAACCGACGACGTGAGACGTCTGTCCGGTCGCACACGTGCGTGCGGCGCCTCGAAGTGAACGCGCGCGCGATACGAATTTTAAATTTTTTTGGAAAAGTTCCACGATCGGCTCTTCACGTGCGCGCATCAATTATTCTCAACTATTCTCGTCGTTGCGGCTTCTGGACCGGTGCGGGAAAACGTAGATAATTTAAATATAAATGTCGCAGGCTCTTGCCGCGCGGATAATATCGGAAAATTGATTAAATTTCGGGTCGAAAAGCGCGCAGCTATGCAGCTATATACATTACAGATATTGAGAATAATTCATTACGACGTGGAGTTTGTGCAGTGGCTGCGAATTCTAAAAATACAACGACGATCGTGCCTTATAGTATACGAGTGCTCGCTCGCTCTTGAGTGATATGGATTTTCCAGTTATCTCGTAACGGACGTCCATTTATTATTCCGATATGAATAAAAGCATAATAATGAGCTTTGCGTGCTTTTGAATAATTACGTTATCTCTCGATCAGTTAAATTGGACTATTAAAGAAAGATTGAGAAGAAATTCACATAATCGCACAGGGAAACTTTTCAAGCTCTGCTTGTCTCAATCGTATACGTAAAGTATACGCTACACAACTTACTTTTTGTAAGCTATATCTATGAAATTATTTTTTAAATACTACGCTCACTTTTTATATAAAAATTAATTCATACGTCTGATCAACGATTATCAGCAATCAAAAATAATATTGGAGCAATTCATTTTTTTATGTGAAACTTTTATATGTATTGCTGGGTGTGGTAACGAATCCGTGAAAAATGAACTAGCGAGCCATTAGCCTCGCATTAGCAGTCTTGGTTTTCACTGCTTAAACTTAAAGGAAGCTTAAAAGTATCAACGAAAGACTGAGTTAAAAATTCTACAATAAGTTAAATCCGTTAGTAAGTTGAGGTAGTGTGATTGAAATTACATTATAAATTCAGAAATAATATGCATATTGTATTTTTTTTATTCATAACAATTGTAACAATTATTATCAATGAAAGGCACTTCGGAAATCCATCTGCGCAACATTACCATTATTGTTAATTTATAAACACATGTATGGAGGCTTACAATGTTTAGAATTCTCATTCGGCGTGATTTGCTCTAGTTTTTCTGTAGCAATATTTACGAAAAAAACGAGCCATTATAGTCGAGTGAAATCTTACATGCAGTGGCGGTTTACGGAGCACGCCAAGTACGCTATAACGTGGGGCTCGGAAGTATTGAAATAAACGTCAAATTTTTTTATTATATATATTTGTGTGAGAATCTATTAATACATGTTTTTTTTTGTAAACTCGACGTTGTCTGTCGGGCGTTTATTTAAAAGTATTTAGTTTTAGACGACCTAAAAATTCCTCGAAGAAATTGTCAGCAAATTAGAATTTCGAATTATTTCAAATGTTGTAAGAATAATGTATAAACAGATAAATCGGTACCTAAATTATAAACATTATAATCATAAACGATTTTGACATCGTCACTCGACACAGTGATAATGTTTATAGTTGAAATTAATTAGTTTGAATGTTGTCTTTACCGATGGAACAAACCATAATATCGAAGACACTTAATAAACTGATCAATCATTTAATTTAGGCATCAAAATGGATCAAAGTGAGAAGTTCGAGGAAGTTGTCTCGGAAAATAATTTGAAGGAACGAGAAATTGTTGTTTCGGACGATAAAAAATATGTTTGTGACATTTGTCAAGATGCATTTACACTAAAATCGAGCTTGATAGCCCACCGAGATACAATTCACAATGAAAAAAAAGATTTTGCAAGCGACAAATGCGAAAAAAAATTTGAGTTTCGAAGTCATTTGATTAGACGCCAAATATTGGTTCCCAAAAGCCGTGAAGATTTTGTATGCAACAAGTGCGAGAGGAAGTTTGAAAATAAATCAACTTTACTCAAGCACAAAAGAATATTTCATGAAGTTTTCAAAGATTACTTATGTGAAAAGTGTGCAAAAAGATTCGGAAATAAACGGAGTTTGCTTTTGCACATAATGACAGTACATGATGGTTATAAAGATTATGCATGTGAAAAGTGCTGGAAGAACTTGAGGAAAAATTCGAATTTGCTCTTACACCAAAAGATACCTCATGAAATTCGTGAAGATTATTCACGTCACACGTGCAAAAAAATATTTGGAAAGAAAGAGAGTTTGATCCATCAACAAAAGTCAGTCCATGAAGGTCGCAGAGATTTTGCATGTAACAAGTGCGAGAAGAAATTCAGACAAAATTATATTTTGCTCCGCCATCAAAAGACAGTACATGAAGGTCGTAAAGATTTCGTATGTGATAAGTGTGAAAAGAAATTTACACAAAAACCGCATTTGCTCGCCCACCTGCAGATAGTCCACGAAGGTCGCAAAGATTTTGCATGCAACCATTGTGAGAAAACATTTGGAAACAAATCGCATTTGCTCGTCCATAAAAAAACAGTCCATAAAGGTCGAAAAGATTACGCTTGTGACAAATGTCAGAAAAAATTTGGACTAAAATGGAATTTGCTCACCCATTTAAAGACAATCCACGAAAATCGCAAAGATTATGCATGTGACAAGTGTGAAAAAAAATTTGGAGGTAAATCATATTTGCTTTTACATAAAAAGACAGTACATGAAGGTCGTAAAGATTTCGTATGTGACAAGTGTGAGAAAAAATTTGGACGGATAAGCCATTTGCTAATGCACCAAAAAACAGTTCACGATGGTCGTAAAGATTTTGCATGTGAAATGTGTGAGAAGAAATACGGGACTCAAAGTAATTTGATAAATCACCAAAAAATAGTGCACGAAGGTCGCAAAGATTACGTATGCGATGATTGCGATAAGAAATTTACACAAAAATCGACTTTCATTTTGCATCAGAGGACAGTCCACGAGCATCGGAAAGATTACGCATGCGAGAGATGTGAAAAAAAATTTGGACAGAAATGTATTTTGCTTTCACACCAAAGGACAGTACACGAAGGCCGTAAAGATCACGCGTGCGAAAATTGTGAAAAGAAATTTGAAAGTAAACCATATTTGTTGATACATCAAAGGACGATCCATGAAGGTCACAAAAGTTATGCATGTAACAAGTGCGAAAGAAAATTTGGATTTAAATCGAATTTGCTCTTACACCAAAAGACAGTGCACGAAGGTCGAAAAGATTACTCGTGCTACAACTGCGAAAAGAAATTTGGACAGAAACAGCAATTGCTCAGACACCAAAAGACAGTACATGAAGGTCTCAATGATTTTGCATGCGACAAATGCGAGAAGGTATTTGGACAAAAGTGGAATTTGTTTAGGCACCAAATGACAGTCCATAATACGCATGCCACGATTGCAAGAAGAAAGATTGACAATTGTAAACATATATAGATACTTATAGTTATGTTTTTCTACAGCTGTAATAAAAATTGTGCCTAAACCATTCTGTTCTACGTGAATCTTGAGTTTTCAACAGTCATTAAGGGCTAACAGGGGGCTTAATTATTTTTCATTTTTCAATTACAGTACTAAGCTGTAAAAGTGAAAAAAAATGTTTTTTTTAAGAACACACATGATAACCCTTTTCAAAACCCTATTTGAAAGTATTTTGTCCAGTTAGATACTTAGAAACAGTTAAGTATAATAATAATGAGGGTATTGGTCCTCAACGCAAGCTATACGCATATCTAATCTACCTGTCGTAGAAATCCAAGAGCAAGCATTAATCGATGGTACCCCAGGTGGTTTCATTTTGTTCGATAGCCAATTGGCCATGGTCGCAACCAAAAGCTAGCCATAAGATGAACTGTAGCTACTTGTGTGTACAATTTTCTAGAATTTAGTATTCATTTTTTATCATTTTCCATAAATTAATTTCACTTTGCTATATGTAGTTCAAGTTCATAATACAATTCAATTCGATCTAATAAAAAGTTATAAACAATTTTATAAAAAAAAACATGAAATTTCGAGAAAAAAATCTCGTTTAACTCAAATTTCAACACGGAAAGAAGGTTCGCTGGGGCGTCTCACGCATATAAATTTGGTCAATGGCATGTATACTTTATTGTAAAATAGTTATAATTACGAAATTCAAAATGGGGATCATAAATTTGACTCCCGAAGACCCGTATGTCATAGAATCATTTCGACAATTTTTAACTCGATAACCATCAGCTGTACGAGAAAAAGTTGTAGAATAAAAAGTGTTGAAAATTGATCAAAGAAAACGCCTGATTTTTTCAGAATTTTTTGAAACGATTTTTGGATTTCTGGATAACACCATTTTTTCAAACGGGTTAACTTGTACACGGGATTCTTTCTGGGAGATGATTCGCTTCGGCTGCCGATTAAAGGTCGTGAATCGATTATCAAGTAATTACAGGACAAAGTTTGTGGTGGTGTTAAACACCCAAATAAACACTCGAACACTTAGAAATGCAAACCACGTTGCATCTGGATTGACACACTGCGCGTAGTTTATTTATTATACAAATTTCTCTTTCTCTCTTTTTCTCTCGTGCTTTCTACTTAGCTTCGAATTCACGCTAAAAGATATGCCCTAGGCTTAACCGGCCAAGCTTCAATCATTTACTTTATTGCTTTTTAGTAGTATTAACAATTTTGCTTATGCGACTCGATACTCGACATTTTTTACTGGAGTCGAGAAAAATCGGGTACTCGCCCTACCCCCTATATAACACGGGATGGCACGGGTGCACGACATTTCCCGTAATCTAAAGATAGACCATCGATACATGAGGCACCGCGCGCATCTCTTCTTTTCCACTTGGCCATACGAATCAGTCGCATGCGCAGTTGACAGACATATCCCTCGAAAAAGGGGTTGAAAAGCGGCAGAAGCAGTCCTTGCATTTGCTTGTGTGTGTATATAGCTTCGCGCCGCGCTCTCGATGGCCAATGAAATATTCAAATGGATAGCGCGCGCACAACCGAATGTCAATCTGTCAACCCTTACACGGAGCAGCAGTTGGAGTGAGAA